GTATACGTATACGTTCATTACCAACTTCCAACGTGGTAATTAAGCTATCCAACTCTTTTCTCCATAATATTCCAACCCCACCATATCCTCGAGGCATTTGCACAGGAGTTTTTGGATCTCTATCATCCACAACTTTTCCTACCCAATATAGTTGTTCATGTAATTCATTTAAGTTATCAATCTGGCAGTTGAAGAGCTAATGTTCCTGAATGAGACATATATCCATATGTCTGTAGACTTCGTCAAAAAATGGACTGCATGATAAAATATTTTTGCAGTTAAAAGATAAAATTCTAATGTTCTTCTTCATCACAATACCATTATTATTTATAATATTTACAATATAAACTTTGTGCATCAAAATTACTATCTACTGCTAGTGTATCTGGCTTTGTAGGCTTGTCCGGTATAAAAAAATATGCCCAGTAGGTGCTGCATTTTGCTCAGTGTAATATAATATTGGTCGCCCAATTAACTCATTATTTTGGAAGCATACAATACTGATAGTCTGCTGGTACAGGTCGTATATTAGATTGTTGGCACCCTTGTAGATTGAATACATTGTGACGGTCGAATTCAGTTGTTTTAAGCTGTACGTTTGTACGAGTTTGTTTTACAGGATTAGTATGATAATTAATTACATGAGTATCTTGTGACGTATATGGCAGTTCATCTTGGTGTTCATAGTACTGGGTATCTGACATAATGTTATTTTGAGTTTGTACCGGGCGGCAGTGATTATGATCATTCATGGCCCTACTGGGGTCGTTACTTTCGTCTATTACTCTATGCGTTTTCAAGTTTATGTTCGAATTCTGCATTTTAGCATGATGCCCATTTGGATTCTCATCTCTGTCAGTTGTATCTGTATAGTTTGCAGTGATATCCAACTTGTCAAGCTCGTTCTCAACTCTACGAATTACAAAGCGGGTAATTTTTTCTCTGCTAAAATGAGGTCATCAGTACCACTGTTGGTGTTATTAGATGTACATTTATTGGTGTTTTGATTTTCAAGTAAGTCTATTCTCTTGTTCATGGTCTTTATAGTTAACTCTAGTTCAAAGTTTCTTCTTTCTGCTTTATGGAGCCTATCTCATGGTCGTGTTTTTCCTTAGCTTCGTCATTGATAGCTGCCTCTTTCATTTTTAGTTGCTCTTCTTTCTTTTTAAGTTTTAACTCGAGTTGTCTAAGATCTCGTGGTTTTAAATGATATTTGTCTTCTTTGTTTATACCTTTAACTGAAGTTTGGTGCTCATCGACGCTGGAATTTAATGAGATATATCTTTGTTGGACTGCTGTATTTTGACGTATTCTTGATGTTAATATAGGCATCGTTGTATTTGGAATTTGTGCCTCAAAACTATCTTGAGATGAAGAGAATTCTGTGTCGACAATGGGTTCAACAGTCGGTGAGACTTCAACATTTATATGTTTTGTTTTTACCTATACATGCAAAGCATGTATCCCTCTCACTATCAATACATCCTTTATGTAATTGCTGATTACATTCAGCACATGATATTTTGCTCATATCTAACGGTCTGTCACAAATAGAACAGTTAGTCAGTTGTTCTTCAAGCATGATTTGTTGTTCAGATGTTGGTGAATTGATATGTTGTATATTAGATAGTTCATCGTCAAGTTGTAAATGATGACTTGCCCAGAGTTGGCCTTCATACATTGTTGACATGAATAAATCGATGGGGATTCTTTCTTATCATCAAGACGCAGGATTTGGGCTTCGGACAGCTTCTCACATTTATAGTGCACCCAATGACCATCTCTTACAATTGACAGCTCTTGATCTACAGCTCCTCTTACATTTGAAGCATTTCTCGATTTGTTCTTCATGATTTCATGTATTATTTTGTTGTCTCTACTTATAAAGTTGACTGTTAGTTTACCGTTGACAAGTATTGAGCTCTTTGTGCGATATAGGTTTATTGTATAGCCATCATTTTTGTTCTCTCTTATTTTATACGTAGTCTGTACTATGCAGCCATTGGTATCAGTAGCTTCATCTTTGATGACATCATAAAAGTTGTTTGTAGAATTCCCAAAAATACCTACCACATGCATAGCGGAATATCTCAAAAGTTATACATTAATTGTAGCATCAAATTCGGCTGTAAAGCCCCAACCTGTGAATTTATACGAGACGTTGTTTCTTTTAGCACTCTCCGATTTTTTATTTAATGTTTTTTCTAAATTTAACGAACATGTTTTAGCAGATTTTTGTTGTACGACGGAGTCATTCATCCTACCCTTTTTGCGGGACAAGCCGACAGAAATGAGTGCCATAAGTCACGAGGATATATTGGAACGGCGTGAACACGGCTTCCCTTATTCACAGTTTGTGGTTTTTTTTTATAGATGTAAGATTAGAATTTTCTATATTGACTGTTGAGATCAGACAAAATTGGTTAAGCTTCCTATGTTTATATATCAATGCTGTACAGTGAACAGGGCTTCCATTTTTCACTGGTTATAGATTACTGATCAAAATATTGTATAACGGGTAAATATCTGAAGTATAGCCTAAAGACAAATCGTCTGTTTTTAAGTAATATCAGCAATGGGCATCGAAAGGGCTTTCCTTATTTCACTGAGTATGATACGGTATTTTTGCTAAAATGTGCTCATTATAGTATTGATTATGATAATGTGGTAACTGTATGAGTGAATCCCAAATCGCAGAGTGAACAGGACTTCCCTTAGTCTTTGTTTTTTTTCAAGTTTCTAGCCTATTTCACAAATCGATTTAATCAAATGTCGTCAAATAATGATTTAAAGCTGACTTTATTTTGTGTTCGGGAGCGCATTCGTTGTTTTGATGAAATAATTTGGTCTTGAGCAATATGTGGTGCCAATATGTTTCTGTTGAAATGAGATACAGTTGTTGGTGATAATAATCGATGGCTGATTTTAATTTGAGTTCAGTATCTTTGTACTGCTTTGTACTACGAACATTAAATTGAAATCCATGAGATTGATTCCACCTGTATATTGAAAAGTAGGGGCATTCAATTGCAATAACAGTCGCAGATGGGTTAGCATGGAGTATATTGTCTCTCGCAGTTCTATATTCCGTTAAGGTTTGTTCTATAGATTGGTAGGGATGTTTTATAATGTCAGAAAATCTACCATCTTTTTTGAAATCTCACATGTACCGAATCAGAGGAGTACTATTGGATTTATATTTTTATTTTATCCAATTTATTATATGTTCTCTGAAATGATATAATCTCAGCTTTTCTAAAAGTATGGCATGGTAAATTATACCAAAATCCTTACTTAAATTCAAAAGCACAGTTCCATTCTTCATTACTTAAATATTTTAACCATCTGTCAATTAGTAGAGTCAGACCGATTTAAGAGTGATGAACTTGTCTGAAATCCAACTGAGATATATTTAATTATCTAAATTGTTCAAATAAAAATTTGACGATGTTTTGTTGTTGATTTTTTTAATTTTTAGTTTTTGTATGGTATTTTACTCTTTTTTGCTTCTTTTTCTTGTATTGTTCTTCTATTGTCCTCTGGACTAAGACTTGTCCAATCTTTACCAAATATTATTTGTGAGGTTTTTTTTTAACTGACAATCAGTGAAGATATTCATGTTCAAAAAGGCATATTACATTTTGGAACATTCAATCGTCTCACTTATTCATTTTCATATTGCATGTTTTTATTTTATACATAAGTGAAAGTGGAATATTACACATAATTTGATGGGTAGGGTTTGTTATAATTGCTGCAATTACATGTATATATCAAAGAAAGTACAAGTCAGAATCATGGATATGTTATCCAAATCAGTGATTCAAAATACATATTATCAATAAAAGCGGGAGGTTCGGCTAGCCACAAAACCAGGTTCAACCCACTATTTTTTTCTTAAAATGTCCTGTACCAAGTCAGGAAAATGGCCATTGTTATATTATAGTTCGTTTCTGTGTGTGTTACATTTTAATGTTGTGTTTCTGTTGTGTCGTAGTTCTCCTCTTATATTTGATTTATTTCCCTCAGTTTTAGTTTGTAACCCGGATTTGTTTTTTTCTCAATCGATTTATGAATTTCGAACAGCGGTATACTACTGTTGCCTTTATTTAAAGATCAGTTCAAAGGTTCAGAAACTGTGAGCACTTTCAGTATAACTTCATATATAAAACTAATTCAAATTTATTTATAGAAATAAAATATAATGTTAACAGAAAATCAATTACCCTTTTATATTTCTAGATTTTATAAAACTTTTGAAATAAATATGGATTTGTGTAAATAAAAATAATTTTTCTAAATTTACCTTTAACAGGAACATTCAAATCTAATCAATTGAAAGTCAGTGGTGTATAGAATACAGAAAACGTTAGAAGTTATATGACCAAAACTGAACTAAAACAAATAGCCAAAATCATCTAAGCATCTTTTCATAAGAATTTAAGAGGACATTTAACAGCCACATAACCTAAGTGTTGAGCAGAGATTTCCCAAGAATAACGATTCAAGGTCTTTATCACTTTTAAATAACTGTTTTGTATTGGTTATAAAACTAAAGAACTGCTTCATCAGTAAAACCACCAAATTTATGATGCAAAACTACTAAACAGAAAAGATTAAACAACCTCCATTTGACTTTCTGGTTTAAGAAGGTTAGTGCCAAACAAACCTACGACAAAATGTGATGGGCTAAACAAAACAAAACCACTGAGTGCATGATACCAGCAAGATGTAATGAAGGATTTGTGCCAAAACTAGACAAAAATAGATGGTCCCAATAAACTGTGTGTATTCTGTCACCAAAACACTTACATTTGATTTGCCCCAGCTTATAAGGGTGTAGATAAATTAAAAAAAAACGAATATAGTTTTCTAGCCAGCTCATCTGTCCTTTACATAGCTGACATCTACTTCTTTCTAATATTCAGTGTTGTGTTTTGTTTTGAAATATTTCATATCAATTCATCCAAAAGTATGATTATTAAACAAAAACACAACCATTATATGTAACATAGAAATTTATTAATTTAAATAAATATATGAAAATTAACTACTCTATCACAAAAAAAAATATATTTTAATAAAATGTAGTAATACCTTTCAAACATAATTTTTTTTTAGATTCCTTGTACCTACATTTCTGTAAATGGTTGTACTAGTACTCATTTTTAGAAAATATATTTCACACCATACATTCCACTTGCATCATTGCAAGTTACATCCAACAGACATTCAAAAATTAAATTTTTTAAAAACAATTGAATTTGCACCAATAAATTGTTGCTCCTATATACAATAAAGGTATTTAAACAATAAATAGATGCCTTGATAATATCACAGAAAGCTTTTAGTCATAAAACATTGATATAAATAATTTGAGCAATCAACAAGATAATTTTGATCTACAGTTCAAGTATTTCTGACCAGTAAATGATGACTTTCCTTTGATAGATAAAGCATAAAATGATCATCTTTATTGTTATACAATGCTTTGTTGGAAAACTCCAAGACTAAAGAAATGTCTAAGCATTCAAACTATCAAAGTACCAAAATAGAATTTTCATTCCTTAAAGTAAGTAAATCAAATAATTATTTACAACATTCAAAATGTTAAAATGGCAACACACCAAAATGTTAAATTCAATCATTTTAACTTACACACTTAATTTTTAGCAGCAGACTGCACATACTATTTATGAAATTTTTAACTCTTTTTACAAAAATATAACTTTCATCAGAATTAAGTTATGTTTAATTCTACTGCTAATGTTTTACAATAAAGACTAATGCATGGTAATGATTTTTTTGAAACATCAATTATTTAAAGAAAGCAAAGGTACATATTTTTTTTTTATTTTCTGTCACTGTTATTGCTTTTTTTCTTGCATTTTGAACAGTTGGCAACAGAGCGTTGTTTTAAAAATTCCAGTCAATATAAGGTGTTACAACAGTGTGTGAGTACCAGCTCACTTCGTTAAAGGCTAAATGACAGACTCTCTGATATATCTAAAAAAAAAACTTAAAGCAATAAATTTAACTTTAAAAAATCAGATTATATGTCTTCATTTTAGTGTTTAAATACACTTTACATTTCAATTGCCAACAAATAATAAATCAGAAAATATATATATATTAATATATATATATATAAATGCCTAAAAAGTGTACAAAACAACACCAATTTTAAAAATGAAAACATTAAATGTAATTATCTATAAATATTTCAGATAACAGTTATCCTTCATCAGTATGCTTATGATGTAAAATGAATAATACCAATCTATTCTGATTTAACTATAACAATCTTGAAATTTATACAATGAAAACAATTAAAACCGAACACAAAAATGCTTGTAAAATGACGTAGGTTATATAGCTATTTACAACAGAGACTTCATAGATATGCTTCAAATAAAAATAGTAATGTGTGATATGAACTGCATGGTACAATTCTAAAATTTCAAAGAAGACGACAGTTAGGATCTTACAATGACGACTACGTGGAAATACATTCCCAATGAACAGCACTGACCGATCTAAGCTGGTATAATATTTCAAATTTGACAACAGTAAAGTATTTACAACAGAGGCTGCGTATTTAAACATCCAAAATAAATAGCATTTTGATAATGATTCAAAAAAGATATAAATTTTTACAAAGGTTGAGTAATTAAACGTGACTGCCTACTTGTACATCCCAAATGAATAGAACCCTGCGATTTAAACTGGTATAATACAAGAATTTTAGAGTTGACAAAGGTAAAGAAATAGCAACAGAGACTGTGTAGTAATATGTAATATAACCCAAATAAAAAGCACTGCGCGAATTAGAACTACACCTTTTCATTTATCCCATTTGGTGCCAAAGTTTTTAATTTTCTTATCCAAAATCTTTCCAAAGTGAACTCTTCCCTAGACCGAGCAGTGTTGTGGTCTATGATTGTAATGGTCAGTCGATTGAGATCTGCCTTAGTGTGGCCAGGGGATCTCAAATATCGACAGAAGAAGGTCTGGCTTGCATTCATAATCGCTACAATGGCCGTTCATTCGTTTGTGAAATGGCTGTTCTGACTCGCCAACATACTGTTTACCACATTTACACTGTAGAAGATACACAGCATTTGTAGTCTTGCAATTAACATTGCAAAATATGGTGTATTCCGTACCAGTGGAGTGACTGTTAAAAGTCTGGGTATTCAGTATTTGTTTGCAAGTCAGACATCGTTTGTTTTCCCATTCCTTGCAAGAGCCCACAGACGAAGAGCCTGTTTTAGAGGATAAATCAGCTCTCACCAGCAAGTCTTTAAGGCTTTTGGGCCTACGGAAAGCCAGTACAGGTGGCTCGGGAAAGATTTTGGATAGTTTAGGATGTTTTTCGATTTCTTTCCAATTTTCGCGGAGATATAGATAATTACATTTAATGTTTTCATTTTCTAAAATTGGTGTTGTTTTGTACACTTTTTAGGCGTTTATATAATTTTTTTTATTGTGTACATGTATCATTACTCGTAACGATCCAGCGCCCTCGTAAGAAAGATTGTTGACTAATATCTAGACGTCTTATATATATACAAGTCTAAATTGAAAACAACGTTCAAACCTATGATTGCGTTTGATAAAAACCGCAATTTTTCTATGTGTGCATGCAAAACAAATTTCTTGGTAGAGGGGTCTAAATACAGCACAAACAACATTTCATGCATATATTTCTGGTACTTTAGTACTTAGCTCTTAAGGTTTTTTATTGCATATATTAATTTACTTGGCACACAGTTATAAATCAGATAATAAACAGAACTTTTAAAACTTGATAAAAGTTGATCATATATATAGAGCTTAAATAACTGGTTAAGTTTAACAGAATATAATGCAACATATAAATATCACAGGCAAATATAAAACAAAGTTTAACAACAGCAAAAATACATGTTTACAAACTACTAGATTATGTTTTTGTACAAACAAATAAAACAATTCTAGGAAAGAAAATATGTTTTTTTGTGGTTTTCAATAAATTTACTTTACATACAGGAAAACAGAGGTCCATCATTGAACTCAACAGGATTCCAGGAAGCGATAAATTCATAAATACACAACCCACCCCTGATCTCTTTATGTCTCAAAGAAATACATACAATACCAAGAAAATACAAATGAAGAAAAAATGAAAGAACCTTAGTGAGCGCGCTCACATACACCACGTCCCCACATTGTCATTGGAGAAATAAAATAAGTGTAAGAAAAAAAAAATTGTATCAGAAAAAAAAATTAAATCATAATTTCCTGTCAATCTGCACATCTACATAGTATGTCCTTATTATCTACACAGTTTTATGAAATTCTGTTGTGTGGTTTGAGAGGAGTTGCGATGACAAAGGTTGCAGTAGTATATTGGGCAAATAAGTTCAAAGGGGCGTAACTCCTGAAAAAAAATTGAATCATAATTTCCTGTCGATATGCTCATCTACGTAGTATGTCCTTATTATCTGAAAAGGTTTCATGAAATTCTGTTGTGTAGTTTGAGAGGAGTTGCAATGACAAAAGGTTGCAGTAGTATATTGGGCAAATAAGTTCAAAGGGGCGTAACTCCTGAAAAAAAATTGAATCATAATTTCCTGTCGATATGCTCATCTACGTAGTATGTCCTTATTATCTGAAAAGGTTTCATGAAATTCTGTTGTGTGGTTTGAGAGGAGTTGCAATGACAAAAGGTTGCAGTAGTATATTGGGCAAATAAGTTCAAAGGGGCGTAACTCCTGGAAAAAAAATTTAATCATAATTTCCTGTCGATATGCCCATCTACGTAGTATGTCCTTATTATCTGAAAAGGTTTCATGAAATTCTGTTGTGTGGTTTGAGAGGAGTTGTAATGACAAAAGGTTGCAGTAGTATATTGGGCAAATAAGTTCAAAGGGGCGTAACTCCTGGAAAAAAATTGAATCGTAATTTCCTGTCGATATGCACATCTACGTAGTATGTCCTTATTATCTGAAAAGGTTTCATGAAATTCTGTTGTGTGGTTTGAGAGGAGTTTCGATGACAAACTGTTGCAGTAGTACATGAAAGTAAATAAGTTCAAAGGGGCGTAACTCCTAGAAAAAGAATTGAATCGTAATTTCCTGTCGATATGCACAACTACATAGTATGTCCTTATTATCTAAAAAGGTTTCGTGAAATTCTGTTGTGTGGTTTGAGAGGAGTTGCGATGACAAGAAACAGGACTGACGGACTGACGGATGGACAGATGGACAGACGGGTCAAAAAACATTATACCCTCTGCAACTCGTTGCGTGGGGTATAATTATGTAGGGTGCTTTTATCCTATCATTCACTTAAAGCTTAAGTGGTTGTGGAGTAGTTTCAGAAGTTCATTCCTCACAATCACAACAAGAAAATATGTTGTACAAATTTCATTTCAAATTATTTGGTTTGGATGGAACTGTTAATCATAGGGTGTGTCTGTATATGAATTGTATATGAATATCTCTTATTTGGACCCCATTCCATATAAGTATATGGTTTTCAACAACAATATATAATGGATTTTATTTCAATCTGATTAAAATACATATCCTGTGTCCATGCTTTGCTTACAAGGATCTGACAAAGCTCCATTATAATTTCTGTTCTAGTAATCATTAAATTATGCATTTAAATTATTGAAGCTGAGCATCATTATGACAAAATCCCAAAAGATCTTTCAATCAAAGACTAGAATGAAGAATTGTCAGATCCTTGTAAATCAAGCCTGAACACAGACTGGTAATATTTCGGCTACCCTTCACAACCATAATAGAGGGTAATAAATGGAAGATGATACGTTGTCCTACACCAATTCAATTGACATATAGTCTCAAATAAACATCAGGGACCATCAATGTAGAAAACATGTTCAGATGCCAGACTACATTATTTATAGAAAACATGATTTAACTTTAATTGAAATAATTGCTGTAGTTATAAAGGAATCGAGGATTATGTGTATGTATGGACAGGCAGGATCAATTGATGCAATGATAACTATAAAAACCCAGCTACTTCTAGAAGGAAGAATAAATTGAATAAATAATTTAAATTATAATTAGGTTGTTTCATAACATTCTGATATCTAATGCAAACACAACAGGCATTAAAGCAAAATAAGCAGTTCATTTGTACAAAACACAATAGTCTAATTTGATTATATTAAATGGAAGAGCACAGGGGATAAGGTGTGTTAATTAACACTGAACAAAACCCAAAGCAAGTGAACATCACTTCTATTGCTGTTCTTCATTTTAAAATTCATGGTTAGGCCTTAAGACTGGAGAAAATGCTTACACCTCCCTGCAGTTTCAGCACTGCTTCTTGTATCAGTCTCAGCAGTATACTCTGTTAGATGTCAATAAATCTGTATCTGTGTGTTAAAGCACATAGATGCAAGGAAATTCAACAAATTACAGTGTATATTTAGAAAAATAAATCTTACAAAAACCGTCCTTATTTGCCTAATGATCTAAAATGTTAAAAGGGGGACGGAAGTTACTAAAATTGAAGTAAAACAGACAACACAATGGCCATAAAAAATGAAAACAAGCAATAGTTAACAAAACACTACACTTAAAACATAATATTGAGGAACACAAACCCTACCAAAAACTGACGGTGATCTTATCTGCTCCAAGTGTAAGCAGTTCAATGATCTGTGATGTCACAATCAAGGAAAGATGACAGGATTGTGGATATGAATAGTGGAACATAATAAAACAGAAACAAAACAAACAATTAGACAACCCTAAGGCACAACAAGATATTAGTTTGGAAACTTGGCATTTAATAATGTATTCATACAGCAAATAATATTGATGGATGTCATAATTATTTGATAAACTAATAAGAAAACTTGAAATAGTACATACATTCAAAGGTATCTCAAGAATGAATACACCTTTACTACACCATGTCCTTCTTTTCAAGGGAAAACTTTATCATAATGAAGCTATTTGAATGAAAAAGTGTAAAGCATACATAAAATGTTGATCAGATAAGTAAAACTACTTTTAAAATGGGTATTACAATAAAAGTGTACAAATTTTACATGAAACACAATGCACTTAAAAAAAATATATAGGTAAATAAAATTATAAAGTTTTATTTCAAAAAAGTTTGAACAGTCAAGTAACTAACTCCAATAATGGAATGTTTACATCTAATATTATTGTGTAGATTTTGTTGATGAAAAAAGTGCAATACTATGTAATATATACAATGGAGTTGCTAATATTTTATATACAGGCATGATTCCTAAAAGAATCCATATAGTATTGCATTGCTGATGAAAAATTAAAATAAAATCTACTGAGATCTATATCACTATTTGGAGGTATAATTTGAGACAGATATATTCTGAAGTTAAAGCATAAATATACCTTTACTTCTTAAAAACATGGTCATCTTTCTTTTCTTTCCCTGTTCATTCTTTTTTTCTGACCATAAAGACATGTTTATTTAAAAGATAATTCATTCATGACTTCAAAACAACTTCAGTAAAAGTTAAAGGACTAGACAAGTTCCATGTCTTTTGTGTGCCAAATCTTTAATTTTAACTTTCCATCTTTCTGAACAGTAGCTTCTTTCCCTTTACCATTCAATGGAAAATCAAATGCTGCATCCTCTTTATATTTGTTTCTTTTTTCTGCTGACATAGATACTGTACACACACCTAGAAAAGTGTCTCTTATAATGTTGTGATCCCATACCTATAGGATAAATTATACAAATGTTTATATAACTGTGCATTAAAACATGGATAACTGTTTCTAGCTGATAATCGAAAATTTTCTAAATTTAAATATTGAGTTTAATCTTGCATGAATCTAGATTTATATTGTCATGTTGTTAATATACTGGTGACAACAGTAAAATAAATGGTGTACAGTCTTTAAAAAAATAACCTGCTATAAACAAATACTCCAAGAACTGTAACTCTTCTGTTGTAATGATGAGTCCATGATCAAGAAGTAAATTGGCTGTCTGACAATGTGTTCTTTACTCAATTGAATGGTTAATAACTGTGTACTTCTTGTTACTAATCTCCACCTTTTTTCGTAGCAACATAACATGGGTAACATAAATAATACCAACTTTATAATATATCATGTGACTTATATGAACATTTTAAATGAACTTCTTTAATAAATAATGAATTGCCAGATAAGAACTTATGTCTTACCTAATTTATTTCTGTAATAACATGAAGGATGAAAAAATAATTTCTATGAAACCTTCAATCTAACAGGTATGAATTATTTGGTATTATTTTGAGAGTTTATCACAACTTTTTTCAGTCTGTGTAAAATACTGTACCTCTACTATAATATCTTTATTTGGCTTTTTATGATAAAATGTAAATCTCTCTCCCCAATCAGGATTTGTATTTTTCTTGACCACATTTGTCTGTTCCTTGTAACCTTCACATTTAATGATGCAGAATGGATCAGAACCTGTAAAATCAAAATCAAATCAAATCAAATATGCTTTTTTATTAAAGTTGGCAAGATTCATAACAATATAGCATAAGCTTGTATTGGGCTTTTTAACCAACACCTGAAATGTATATTAATCGTTTGATTGAGTAATAAAATAAAAGAAGAATGTGTCTGAGGACACAAATGCCCTTGCTCAAACTTTCAATTTTCCAAGTTAAAAAGGGGCATAACTCAAGAACGGCAAATGACTCACTGCCCAAATTTGAACTCTGTCTATGTGTTGTTGTTCTTTATATTGTGTAAGAGTTTCATCAAATTTGGATGAGTAAAACTTAAGTAAGAGTGAGGATGAGTAAAACTTTAGTTAGAGTGCAGAAACTGAAAAAATTTGCAATTTTCAATTGTATAAAGGGGCATAACTCTAGAACAATTAATGACATACTGCCAAAATTTCAATTCAGTCTGTGTGTTGTGGTTCTTAGCATTTTGAATGAATTTCATAAAATTTGAATGAGTAAAACTTAAGTGTGGAAATGAAAAAATTTGCAATTTTCCAAGTTATAAAGGGGCATAACTCTAGAACGATAAGTGACTCACTGCCCAAATGTGAACTCTGTCTGCAGGTTTTGGTTCTTAGCATTGTGTATGAGTTTCATAAAATTTGGATGAGTAAAACTTAAGTAAGGGTGTGGAAACAAATAAATTTCCAAATTTCCAAGTTATAAAGGGGCATAACTCAGAGAACAGAAATCTTAAGATAAAGTGCAGAAACAAAAATGGGATGGATGGAAGGATGGATGGACTGAAAGACGGACGGAAGGTAGGACAGACAGAAAGATGGATGGAAGGTAGGACAGACAGAAAGACAGACTGTTAAGGGTAACACTAAATGCCCCCATTGCCTACGGTGGAGGTATAAAAACAACAGTAAATTCCAATGATACAATACAAAATAGGAAAAGCACATTTACTGCTGTTCTCCATCTTGGCAGTTGTTACAAAATTTTCTACTATGAGCTTTAGAACTTTGACTATCTCTGGACAGCAATTCATGATTTTATCTATTAGATTCTTTAAATACTAAAGTACACTTTAAAACATGCTTTTTTCCTTTTCCTCTTTTGTTTTTTCCTTTTCTTTTTTTTCAAAAATGTATTGAATAAATCAAACCAATTAACCTAATCTGATTTTGATTACTGGGAAAGTATTAAACTTCAAAGTCATGTAATTTTCAGGGTATTTTCTGTCAAAACAAAACTGATACAGTAGCAAACAACTTGTATAGGTTTACTTATAGTAATGGCAACAGTAATTCACGGATATTGAAATCTAGTGAATCTATTCAGACCATACAAATCAGGGTAAAATACAAAAACGGAGAGAATCTCATGAACTCTGAAAGGAGCAAGACGGGATGACTCAACAGGGTAGGCTCTCCAGCAACGCATGCAAAGAGAAGAGCACAAATTGGTATTAAGCATCTTGGTATTTTGGAGTATAGATATTAAAATTAGTAAATATAATATTGCCTTAGACCACAATAAATTTTCTTTCCTAGTGTTTTTTTAGTATAGTTCCCAAGTATTATATAGGTTACTGTTTCCTGATTATTCTTTATACTGTGTTCTTTGAAAAATAAATTATTTTTTAAGTGGTCTAATAGTTACATAAATATTGAAATAAGTCAAACATGTTGAAAAAACTGATTGTTGAACATGCATCTCTTATAAATATTTGCTTAGTTCTGCTTGGCACAAAATGTTTCCCTCTCACAAATATGGTAAATACTATTTGATTGTCATCCATTGAAGATTAATACAATTGAGGCAATCTTTTTCTCTTAAAACTCAGGAATATTTGTCATATTTGACACATATTTATCACATATGTTTATGAAAAACAACATTATTTTGTTATATATGTACCTTTTTTTTTAAATAGAGCCCTTAGAGCCCCTCCTACTTAAGCATGAATTAATTTTTTTTTTTTACTTCATCTTAAATTAAGTAAAATAACACAGCCATAAAAAGGAGAAGATATGGATAAGGTCATTTTTAACTCTTTATTTGAAAATAAAAAAGAATGATAAATCTATCAAATAAGATCCCTCCGATGTTCACTAAATATCATTAATATTTAAATGTATGCCAAAGCATAACCCAAAGAGATCTTTTATTACAAGATGTCTTATAGAAAAAGTTTTTAGGTAAGGCTGTGGCTTCCACCTTGTTTTAAAAAATACTACATGTGAAATGTCCACTTAGTTGACAATACATCAATTTCTAAATGTTTATGACATCATAACTGATAATTTTTAATTTAAATTTTGAGATAATCATTATATTCATGTATCAATAAAATTTACGTAATTTTGAGATTCAAGCAGAGCCTTAATAATTTAACAAATTCATGGGCCAGATAATGGTTCTTATCAAACCATCTCCTTTTAAAATAGTATAGATCATAACATATTTGCAGTAACAGTATATATCTATGACATTTCACAGGAAGACTTACTGCCTAACTTATCAACAGCTTTCAATCCCCTTGCAGATATAACAGTAATCTGTGTAGCAGCTATCTTTGGTTTACATATAAATCCACATTTAGGGGGTTGCGGCTCGTCATATAATAATTCTCTGCAATTGGAAATTAAATTCTTTACATGTGTGAATGTATAGAAAAGTGTCTATATCATTATGAAATAGATAAGTATCTTGTGCTCTATGAAAAGTATGGTATCAATGTAGAATCCATATGATTCAACAGAACAATTTTTTTTCAGGTATATGTCATAAGAGCCAGAAATCTAAAATCACACTAAAAATGAAAAGTAAGATGTCAACATGTCATTTATTATAAGAAACAATAGCACTAAACAGCCAAGCATTTCCCTGCAACTGTACAGAACATATGGTTTCTCTTCTTTTTAATCTTGGCCTTTCACCTGATAGAAGTCATCAACACCTCATGATCATATTTGAAAGTTATCAAAATTTCATGAAATCGAATGAAAAAAAACATGCTCTATCATTCATATCATCAAGTTATGATAATTGTGAGATATGTAATATTGAAATCAGATGAGTCAATACTTTCTATACTACCATTTATACTTACTTGAAATTTGTGTTACCACTGGAATATAATCTCAATGCATAATGGGACTCACTCCCCTCATCAAATGTAGAAGGTATGACACAGTAACGACCTTTCTTTATCTGTATCCTTGACAACAAACTTCGAGCTGAGGTATATGTACTCTGATGTACAATCTTCATCATATCATGTATTCTAAATTCTCTATTTTCATCTATCTGTTTAACATTAAAAAAAATAGACTGAGTCAATTCAACTGAGATTTGTATCTCATTCTTTCTCGTTTTAAAATTATTGTTTGTGAGCAGTTTGTTTATCAAACTTTATCATCATTATTCTTTTATTCCAAATCAAGATAATTACATAAAAAATCATTGTACATCAGCTAAGATTATTTACATAATGTATTTAAGAAATGACTGTAATATTTTTTCTGTCTATGAAGAAGTAACATCAAAAATGTGGTGCACACTGAATAACCAGTGTAGCTCAGTTATTTAAAAGTGTGCACCACATTTTTTATGTTATTTCGAATAGACAGAATAAATATTACAGTCACTCCTTATAATTTAATTCTAAAAAGGAGTAAATCATGATAAAAAACGTTGATGATGTCAAGGTCACATGACAAAATTATGTCTAAAACACTTTTAGCCAATCAAAATTCGTGTTACATCCAAAATTAACCTATCATACTATGTAGATAATTTTCCAAAGGTAAATATTTGTATATTCAATATATATGTAAATCAGGATCATAGCAAAAAATTAAATGTGAAATTTTGTATTAATTTACCTTGATTAAAACAGCTCCAACAGATGCATTTTTCCCTCCTTTATCTTTATCTAATCGACTTTTATCTTCTTGTTCTAGTGAAATCCATAAATCATCTTCTTGTCCTTTGATGTCAAACACATACTGAAAACAATACAATGCTAGACATTTATTTTACCCCAGCCAGTAAACTGTCCTGTCCTTTGATGTCAATCACATACTGAAAACAATACAATGCTAGACATTTATTTTACCCCAGCCAGTAAACTGTCCTGTCCTTTGATGTCAATCACATACTGAAAACAATACAATGCTAGACATTTATTTTATCCCAGCCAGTAAACTGTCCTGTCCTTTGATGTCAATCACATACTGACAACAATACAATGCTAGACATTTATTTTATCCGAGCCAGTAAACTGTCCTGTCCTTTGATGTCAATCACATACTGAAAACAATACAATGCTACACAAATATTTTATTCCAGCCAGCAAACTACATGTCTCTGTTTTCTGTGTTTACAGTCACTTTTATTCCTTTTTATCACTGATGAAGTTTGATGCCAAAATCAGATCAGAATTATCTACTGAACATCTATGACAGATACTTAATTGACAACCATTCAAATTTTACTATAAAGACTATACAGGTTGAGGACCAGTTACCGTTACCTAGCATTTTATGCAATAATGGACATGTTTTCTAATACAACATACTGCTATTATCTGCACATAATAACTTTCATTTAATATTTCCAAACTTTGTTTTGTTTGATCAGTTTAAGACAAGAAAAAGAGTTTTCATTTTTTTTAACACGTTGCTGAAAGATATGTGTGTGCAGAGGGGGCATGAAGTCATCACTTATAACGTCCTCGATTTTAGAGAACTTATCATTTTTTGACAAAGTAAGATCAAAGCTTGTTTTAGACAATGTTTTTTTCTTAAGAATTAAAAAAGGATTATTTATTTGAAAACTAACTTCTTTGTTTCTATTGAATACAGTGTAACTTGTTGATTTCAAGAAAATTTCATTCATGATCAGTTAAGATTTAGCAAGAGGAAGAAAAGCTTCAGAATTTTAGATAGAAGGACTACATGTTTGATTCTTTTGACATTCAACCTTCTCTTCTAACCATAGAATATCAATATGAAACTAATGTTCATATTAAGCAAAAATTTCTATCATTTAGTAGCTAGATTCTATAGTGACGGTAATTGGTCCTCATACTCTTAAATTTCATGCAAAAATTGCCACTCCAGTACCCTACTTTACATAAGTAATAAGAGGATTTGGAGTCCTAGTCTATGGTGCTAGAACAAACTTTTGGTAACCAGTTCTATTTTACAAAACATTTCCTAACAGAATTACTGTTAAAAAAATATTTGAGAAAAATTGTGAATTTCTAACTGTAACTGATACTGGACTAGTACTTTAGAAACAATATGTTTTCATGGTTTCAAATTTCGTGGTTTTGTGTTCAAATTTGATTTCCTTGGGATTTATTTTCGTGGTTTCTAGTTGATGAAAGTATAATCATATGCAGATTAAAATTTTGTTGAGGTTTTGATTTCATGGATATTATCTATCCAAAGAAACAAAATTAAATCTATGAAAATTTCTGCTTTTTATTTTCCACACATAAATAAGACCAACTTTTACTGGAACCTTTTGTCCTTTTAGAAGACAAAAAAATCTTAAATGAATGAATGGTCAACCACTGAGATTTAAAAAAAATCCTTAATGAATATAAACAGAAGGCTCTGAAAACACTTCTGTCAACAAAATGATCATCAAGTCTTTTATTTATCATGGTTATAGACATAGACAATGAAGACAATAGGTATCTACAGAACATTAATATCATGTCTACCTGAGGATTTTTAAGGAAGTTTGGAGAACTTGCTGATCCACCACATCTATCTGGCTTTTTCCACTGACCAACACCTATTGCTTCTGACCATGTCTTTGACAGAGAGAAGAAGGAGATGTTCATTACATGACAAATATCCACATGGTTAAAATACTTCACAAAATCTACATATGACATCCTACAATGTTAATCATTAATTAATTGAAATTATTGATACTTTGTGAATTATATCAAACGTTTTGCCTGGCTGCTCCATAAAAAATACCATGGGACCAAGGGAAAATGCTTTGAAATCTCCAAAGGGTGGGTGTCAAGTACCAGGAAAATTTAAGTGAAATTTTACCTGTATAGGTGGTAACTTATCCCATTTTGAAAGTGCCATACCTCGGTACCATGATGTTTAAAAAAGAAAGTCCAAAACTGTTTTTGTTAAACAATTATTGGTTCATTTCAACTATTTCTAAGACTGTATCATTATCATGAATGGTATAATTGCTATTTATGAGGTTCAAAATGTTATGTTTATTTGTATTCAATAGATATTTTAGTTAGTTTTCATTCATAATTTTAAAAAGAGTGAGGGGTTTGGTGCCATAAGGCACACCTGAATTAACCCATCGTCTGGTGCTATATACCAGTAACCTACTTTTTCTCCAAAGTTAACCCATCGTCTGGTGCTATATACCAGTAACCTTCTTTTTCTCCTGTTTTCCTGCAGTAAAAGTACCTGTACTAAGTCAGACGTATGGCAATTATCTTTCAGTTGTTGAATGGGTTGCTATGTTATCTGTTTTTCTCAGAGATTTTGGACATTCAGTCTTTGATAGTTTCGTGCATGTATTAATTTTTTCTACATTTTTATGTACCTATATTCCCACTTTGTATATATTCTACATTAATACAATTTTAAACGTTTCAATAATATGTCATAATTGATCTTTTAAATGGTTACCAAAATTCTCCATTGTCTTCTACTGTTAGTCCAATATCTTTTTTCTGTCCAGAACTGACCTTTTTCCACTCTGCTGACCTAAAAAATTATTGGGAAAAAACATCTGAAAACATTTCCTGTAAAAAGGTTCTTTAGTTCTAAAATTCGTAAGGGTTCCGCGGAACCCAGTGTCTCGCCTACTTTTGCTGTTAATCGCAGGCTCAACAAAAATAAGGAAAAAAATTAATAAAAAATATTCCCTCTCTATACTATCTTTTGATTGTAAGTAGCTTCTGTCCAAGTTTGGTAAAAATCCAGGATAGTTTATGAATCTAATAAATGTTTTAAAAACTTAAACTGCAGACTGTATGTAATGTTAACTGGAAGAAAAACTAAGTCCATTTATAAGTAAAATACGGAAAAAATGGAACAAAATTTTAACAAAATTTCCTTCTAGATACTAGCTTTTGATCATAAACAAGCTTCTGTCCAAGTTTGGTACAAATCCAAGATAGTTTAAGAAAGTTGTTAAAATTTTAAAAACTTTAACCACAGAGTGAATGTGTTGTTTCCTGGCAGAAAATCTAAGTCCATTTAAAAGTAAAATACGGAAAAAATGGATTTATTTTTTTACAAAATTTCCTTCTAGATACTAGCTTTTGATCATAAACAAGCTTCTGTCCAAGTTTGGTACAAATCCAAAATAGTATAAGAAAGTTATTAAAATTTAAAAACTTTAACCACAGAGTGAATGTGTTGTTTCCTGGCAGAAAATCTAAGTCCATTTAAAAGTAAAATAAGGAAAAAATGGATTTATTTTTTTACATTTACTTTTGGATACTATCTTATGATCATAAACAAGCTTCTGTCCAAGTTTAGTACAAACCCAGGATAGTTTAAGAAAGTTATTAAAATTTTAAAAACTTTAACCACAGAGTGAATGTAATATTTCCTGGCAGAAAAACTAAGTCCATTTATAAGTAAAATACGGAAAAAATGGAATTTTATTTTGACAAAATGTACTTCTGGATACTATCTTATGATCATAAACAAGCTTCTGTCCAAGTTTGGTAAAAATCCAGGATAGTTTAAGAAAGTTATTAAAATTTTAAAAACTTTAACCACAGAGTGAATATTTGTGGACGACGCCGACGACAACGCCGACGGAATGTAGGATCGCTATGTCTCGCTTTTTCGACTAAAGTCGAAGGCTCGACAATAATCATTTACAATCAATGTTTAAAGAAAGTCCATATCAACAAAAATTGATTAAAAAAAAGGAACCAAAACTGACACAGATGCAATGGAGAATTATTTTGTAAGGTAGAATACTCACCGTCTAGATTCTCTTTGACATTTAACATTTTTTTTATAGTATATATACAAGTGGTCAGTACCGTTATGTTTTGAAATGTTATACACTTCATATGAAGTCATTAAATGTAATTGGATATCCTGCCTTTTTCATGCTTTATCCTTAAATAAGGTCAAATTCCTGAAAGACCCAACAAAACTATTGAAAGCTTTCATTCTGCATTAACAATAATATCATGGTGTAAATGTTAAGAAATAAATAAAATTATCTATGTGGAAAAAATATGAAAAAAGGATTACCCATCACTCCACGCTCCCTTCCATTCTGTGCCACCCCATGGATTACGACATCGCACCATATGAATTCTTTCTGCATTAAAGACAGAGAAGAGTCCTGTTCCTAGTTTGATGTCCCTGACAGCTGTTACACTGTAAGCATGTCCCTTCACTAAACCTACATCTAACTCGGATTCCATTTCATTGGCTGATGCCTGTCAATAATATATGATGTTAATAAAATGTTTCATTTAAGAAAGGTGACAGTATGTATTGGTAGGCAATTATGAATATATATTCCTGGCAAACTGCCTAGTCATAAAATATATATTTATTGTTATGCTAAACCTTTCTTCTTTTTCAAATTGTCCTCCTGTATTTGTTTACTTTGGTGAAATTGATTGTCTGGAGCTGTAAAGGATAAATTTGAAAGTGTCCACAAATTGATTTAACATGAACATAGACACTCAAAATTATAGTCACTAGATCAAATATTGAAGGTGTCATATAATTGTAAGCGATTGGTCCATAAATACATGCATATTAATTCCATATTTCTAAAATAAGTTTTATAAAAATAATGTTTTATGCTGTATTAATGAGAAACTGACAATTTAGTTTCAGCTCATTCAACATAAGAATATGATACTGACTAAAAGTTAAGATGGTGGTATAATTATTTTTAAATACATGTTATCTTATCTTAATAGTCAATAAAGATACACATTCAGGTTTCTCACTAAGGCAAGTCCATGAGTCTTGGACTAATGAAAATTTTGTCTTGATATCTTATTTTCAAAATTGGTGAGTCCAAAGATGCATCAAGAATGTTGTACCAACTGAGCACACATATCAACATTATATATTTTAAGTATAAAATTTATCTAAATTTGATTTCATTTCCTTGCTCTAGCTATTTTATCATGGAGGCTGAAATTATAGATTATATAGTAACAAAATTTCTTCTTGTCACTGTTGGACTTGCCATGGCCTTTAAAAATCCTTTGCGAGAACCCTGACATTATTAATTTTCAATTACCAAACATTTTGTTATTTTAATACAAAAAATCAGCCATCATTAGACATGACCACCAATCTGATTAAAATTCAGATCCTTTGTCCAAGCTTTGTTTACAAGGATCTGACAACACTGGGTTTACTTTATGTTCTAAAAATTATTACATCAGCAAATGAAATTTCAGCCTTCAAATTTTTGAAGGTGTGTATCCTACAACAAAATCCAGAGGGTCTGGAGAGGCCTTAAAAACAGAAAGTAGAGGGGAGCATTTTCAGATCCTTGTTAGCAAAGCTTGGGCACAAGCTATGTATTTTAATCAGATTCCATAACCACTTACAGCAATGGAGGCACTCATTAGAGATCTCTGTTCTATAGATTCATGTAAAATGTCAAACAATTCCAATTTTTGTGCTTCAGTTTTATATGTATCTAAACTGAGAAGTTCTCCAACACCTCCTGTTATATCAACTAAAGCATCTCTTGGTCTGCCTGCCACCAGTGACTCATAGTTCCCAAATAACCTTCAAATTAAATTAAGGTTTTATTTCATGTAATTTTATGTAAAAGATTCTAAGATAAATTTTGAAACCTAAAAAAAAAATAAATAAGCAAGACTAAAATTTTAATCTAAAAAAAGTAATTTTAAGGGGCAAGTGATGTATTTTAGAATTATCAATATACTTCTACAAATTCAAACTACTTTTTTCTCATTCCCTCTTCCATTAACAATGTTGGCCCATGTTTTTACAATCTTAAGTTGGCCTTACCATGTATACTGTTTCGACTGTTCTTATAAAGAAATCCAGAAAAGGGCTTAAAAAACAGAATTTTAGTATGCTTCAATTTGATTAACATTAATAATAATCTTTATTTCAAGAGGGTATGCTCAATTAGTACAAACACTATTCTCCCTTGAGGCCCTCACACTCCACTCACAATGCATCACACAATTTCTTCATAACAAAGATAAACATAAGAAAACATAATCAAAATTGATACATAATCATTTAAATAATTCCTGGATTTTCAAGTAAAAACTTAAAGCAGTTTGTTTTAAAAGTATTTATGTTTGACATGTGTCTTAGTGCTTCTGGTAGTTTATTCCATAAAGTTGGGCCAGAATATGAAACAGATCTTCTAAATGTGTTTGTTCTTGCCTTTGGTATATTAAGTAATTGGGTAGTATTTGATCTAAGTTGCATTCCATTTTTATTTGTAACATAGGAGATTTTGTTAGACAAATATTCTGGGACAAATCCATATAAACATTTATGAACATATAAGGCCTTGTGGTAAATTACACGATCATTCCATACATCATCATAAAACTTTTTTTTCTTTTTCATATATAAATGTGTCAAGTATAATTTTGTGCAATGTTTATTGATATAACTTTAAAATTAGATAAATATACTGCAAAAATGAATTGTAAACTTTTGCTAAAAACTAGCTGATATTGGTAAACCTGACAAAAAGATGGAAACATACTTTGCATAAGCTTTTTCAAGCAGTGCTGACCAGAATTCATTTCTTGCTTTAGACTGTACAAAGATAAGATGGCCTCCTTTTGTTGGTAAGTAATCATCTATAACAACATCTGTCCACGTACCACATCTCCAAAATCTAAAGTGAAATATACCACTATATTTGTTGTCTTCTGACCATTCTTGTTTATCTATGTCTGGAACTACCTACAGTATATATGCATGTACATCACAGTGAAATAGCTTTGGACTCAATCTTATGATTACTATGTATTATATTTCCATAGGTCTAAAATAAATGTTCAGGGCCTCCTTGTTAAGTGTCATCAGTGAGAAATACTGGAATTTTAACTGTTAAACCAGCTTACCCTTCCTTTTTCTAAGTTTAAAGACTCTTTTCAAGTCTTAACAAAGTCATGTACTTAATAATAAAGTAAAATACACTGTCCATATATAAAACAAAATCTAACCTTTGTTAAAAGTTTTCTATCAGCTGTTAGGCAAGCACAAGCCGCAACAAACCAGCAATTGCCCAGACTTCCTTGTGAAAAGTCATCAAAACTGGCTCCTTCCACAAAAAATTTGGGATCACGGGAAATTTCCTGAAAAATACAGAAAAGGAAAATATATATTAAAATCTATGCAAGTGCCAAAAAAATTTAATTCAAGTTAACACTGTTTCTATAAATTAATAATAATCTCCCTTTTTTCAATCAAAAGACTGCTAAATTGCAACCAAATATTGTGCATCATTCATTCACAGGTACATGCATAATTACTGAACAATACACTATAATAAGAAAACTTTAACTCTAAAGTACACATAAACAAATCAAAAACAATTCTTGTTCACCTAAGCTTCTAAAAAACTTATCATGAACACTAGTACTGGTCTATGAAAAAGGGGGTACATATCAAAGATATGTCAGATAGACATACACATCTTTAAGTGATTGGTGATATTGAATCAAAATTAATATTTGCAAGAAGCCTTATTTTTCCATAAGGGTCTTTATAACAAATGTATGTTTCAGATATTGTTGAATAAACATGATAAAAGAATATGGTGTATCATTAGATTTATAAAAACAAATTTTTTTACTAGATCATGTCAGAGTTGATTAAGATTTTAAAGTAAAGGCCATCTGTCATATGCCAAACAGATGTACATGAATGCTGCTTACAACAAATAAGTTATCATATCTTGTTGAAATGTTTTGCATTTATAATTAGAAACATGTTATACATACAATAGGGGGAGGGTTGAGATCTCACAAAACATGTTAACCCCCCCCCCCTCCCCCCCCCCCCCCCCCCCCCCCCATTGTTTTGCCTGTCCAAAGTCAGCAATTCTTTTCACAAAAAAACTTAAGAGGAAAAATACTTGTAAGTCATACACATTTCTGAATAACTTACGATTAATTTTAATAGTAAGATTTTTGGTGAAAAGAGTCGCAGGAACCTCTAGCCTTTGTTAGTCTTGTGTGTTTTTTAATTTTGGATCATTGTATGGTTTGGAGTGTGGCGTCCATTATTGTTTAGGGGTTAGCTGAAGCCCACCCTTGGGGCACGATTTTCTCGTTGCATTGAAGAACCATTGATGGCCTTTGCTGTTTTCTGCTCTTTGGTCAAGTTGCTTCTTTGACACATTCCCCATTTCCATTCTCTATTCTATAATATATTTATGAACCATCAAAGTACAAAAAATGTTTACAGTTTATGGCAATTAAAAACACACCAGATTATAAACTTTCAATTAGTCACTATATTATGAACAGGACAGGAAGTCAAGTCATGCAAAAAATACTGACTAAGATCATTAAATTTTTCTGAATACTTACACCAGGTCTCTTCCAAACTATATCCTTTTCAACTTTGCTGTAGAACAATGATTTACTGTCAGGTGGGAAAACAGGATCTACAAATAATTCTCCTTTACTAATGCATTGCTTTTTGAGTTTACTATATCGTTGGTCTTTATATGGAACTGCAGAATCAAACAAACCCAACACCATGCTGAAAATTAGAAGAAAATATAGCAAATCAATATACATTATTATACATACTATTTTTTTAAGTCCATTAATTTGAAATGTGGCCTTCAATCTACCTGCATCTTGTACACAGTTTTATTACCTATACTTGCTACATTGATAAACTGAACATCCATTACTCAGTTCTAAAGAAAATAAATATACTCATACAAGCATACCAAGCATATGGTATTCAATATGATTTATTATAACATATTGCATATAATATGTTTGTTTTATTGACAGATTTGAAGTTATATGTATTTGAAGATCCTGTATAAACCATTTACAAAGCAAAACAAATGTCTATACATGTGCTAAAAACCTCTAACATTATCCTATGAAAATGGAATATTTTATATTTTTATTTTTTTTAAACTGCATTGCACATCATTTACAAATCTAAAACAGGCATATATTTGTTAAATGGCAATGTTTTATAACAAATGCCTCGATCATTATTCAGGTTGGGACTAATCACCCAAATTGGTTATTATAACCCATTTTGTGCATTATATCCCTAATTTACCCTTTGTTAGTCTTGTGTGTGTTTTTTTCAAATCAGGTTCAATTTTATGTTTGAGAGTTTAGTGTGGCGTCCATTTCGCTGAACTAGTATACATTATTGTTTAAGTGTCAGCTGAAGCCCGCCTCCAGTTGCTGAATTTTCTCGCTGCGTTGTAAACATATTGGTGGCCTTCAGCTATTTTCTGCTATTTGGTCAGGTTGTTGTGTCTTTGACACATTCCAGTAAATTCTATTCTCAATTCTAAATGGAATTTAAATTTACAGTGCAAAAAATCTCTGTTCTTTTTATTTAGCAAAAATATTTAAAATTGCATTTGTTTTATAGGTCTACAAAAACAGGTCTTGATAAGTGATTTTTCCAGAAAAGGCCGAATAAGTTGCTAAACTGATCCCTCTGAAAAACAGCATCTTCCAAGGAATCATACTCATAATCTAACCAGGTATTCAGAAAAGTGGAGAACCAAAAGTTGTTGCCTTAAATGTAATCATTTGCACATTGTAATATTTACCCTACTAAATCCAATATAACAGGTTTTTTTTTGCATGCAGTCAACTTATATCCCATTTGGGGTATAGACGACTTTCAAATTTGTGCACTTTCCCTTAAATTTCCTATGTCACAATGCTAATGTTATTACGTCACAGTAAGACCTGATTGTTTGATGAAGTCTTTTAAGTTGTTTGACCTCAGGTCAACCTGAGTAACTCAATCATAAAAAACAACCTAAGATTAGTGTATTATATTCAAAACATATATATCAATATAACCCTTTGAGTGATTGAACCTGTCATATAGACCAATCTCAAGTTTGTTTGTTTTTTATGAATGAGTTAATTACTGGTCATGCTAGTTGACTAGTCCAAATAATTGAAATCAATCTAAGTAAAATACCTCATTGAACAATCGGTTGTAACGTAACAACATTTTAAGCACACTTGTGACTTAGGAAACGTATGCAAAAATGCACACATTTGAAAGCTTGCTTTGCATGAGTGCTACAGTAGCACATGCAAACAAAAAAATAAGAAAACAACCATTTTAGACAATGTTATAGAGCTGCTTTTATTTGAGTTCATGAACTTGTACCATCTTGATCTAGTCCAAATAATTATGACGTTTTGCGTGGCTTTTTGATACTTCTTTTTAGGTGCCTTGCGTCACAACAAAAATCAAAAATAGCCTTTCTAGGCGTCATAATTATTTGGACTAATCCTGATCCAGCTCTGTGTTAGTTTTTGAAAAACAGGCTGCATGCATGTTCTTGCAATTAATGTTTCCTTTACAAAACATATAGAAAATTAATATTACATGAAGTGTTTAACTATTCTCTGCTTTTAGCGACCATTTGATCCGATTCCAAATGATAACCTCTGCATCAGTTCTTTTGTTTACATGCAACCATGCAACAGGCGATGTTTCAGCCACCAAGGGAAGTAATTTTTATAAAACGTGTAAAGTGATAATTATTTTTTTAATTTCATAATAAAGTATAAGCGACATTCTACTCCATGAACACTTAAAGTATATTTTTTTCAGGTGAAATGAATTGGAAAATTTCAAGGCTTATTTCAAAAGTTGTTTAGTAAAGGTGTAAATAAAATCTCCAGCAAATAGTCTTTCTTTATGCAATGAACACTTTATCGTCATTTTATTTACTTGTCCTCCACAACCAGCAAATCATGGCACGTCTGACAAAGAAAGATATAAAAGATGTCAGCGACTTAGTAACTAAGAAATTGTAATTTATGAAAATATAAACAGTTATGAACTTGGCCAATAGAGCTGTACTAGTTACTATTAAATGATGTGTCATGTGTTTATATTTTACATTTAGTTATTAATAATTTAATGAAAAGAGAGATCTATTTATAATGATCAAGGACCAGTTATCCTCAATTAAAAGTACTGTCATTAGAATTTTATGTAATAACACATAATTCAGAAATTATACAATCATATATATATCTATATAGCGTTTATCTTCAGACAAATACTTCCATTTCATTTTTTTAACATTTGTTTTGTAAATGATCCAATAATTTTAGCCATGAACATTTTCCTGTTTTTTAACAGTTCCACACAATGGGAACATAGATATTAATGGATTTTCTGAATAAAAGAAATCAAAGAGTGCCTTTAATGCATATATATAATTTTCACTAGAGTATAGACATTTATTAAAATATTTTAAATACTAATATATTAAGGTTTCATAACCTTTTTAATGTAAATAATTTATATTCAAATCACCCTAAATGAGTACAGATGTTTATGCAGTATAAAGCATTTAATTACCTGTATATTGATTATGGTTTTATTAAGAGTAAATTATCAAGACTATTGTGTATGCAAATTGTACTAAAACATTTAATACTGACGTTCATCAACTGTGAACAGTAACCATCAATTTTTCTAATGACTTTGATCTTTCAACTGCTGTGATAACAAATATTGCTTTTTATGCCCCCTCCGCTACGCTTAAGTTTTACCCTTGTCTGTCTGTACGTACGTACGTCCCAAAATTGGTTTCCGTTCTCTAACTTGAGTTTGCCTCAACCAAACATTATGAAACTTATACACCATACTTATTACCATAAAACACAGATCAAGTTTGTATTTTGGTGGCATCACTTTAACCGTTCTAGAGTTATGCCCTTTATAAATGGAAAAATTGCAAAAAGTTTTAGTTTCTGTTCTCTAACTTAAGTTTGCCTCAACCAAATGTTATGAAACTTATACACAATGCTTATTACCATAAAACACAGATCAAGTTTGTATTTTGGTGGCGTCACTTTAACCGTTCTAGAGTTATGCCCCTTTATAAATGGAAAAATTGCAAAATTTTTATTTTCTTCTAAATATCAAGTAATTTTTTAAATTGGAGTTATCTTCCTTTGTCCATGATTATAGTTGAATCAACTACAATCAATGCTTTAAATTTATACAATGCAATGTTTAATTTTGGCTTCCACTGATAAAACACAGATCAAGTTGAATTTGGGTAGTGTCACTTTAACCATTATTGAGTTATGCCCCTTTATAAAACGAAAGATTACAAAATTTTTTGGTTTCCATTCTGTAACTTAAGTTTGCCCCAACCAAACATGAAACCTATACACAATATTCATTACCACAAAACTAAGATGAAGTACAAATTTTGTGTTTCCATTTTCTAACTTTAGTTTGCCTCAACCAAATGTTATGAAACTTATACACAATGCTTATTACTACATAATACAGATTAAGTACGAAATTTGGTGGCGACACTTTTACCATTCTTGAGTTATGTCCCTTTATAAACATAAAAATTACTGAATTTTTCATTTCCGTTCTCTAACTTTAGTTTGTCTCTACCAAATGTTATAAAACTTATACACAACCGTTCTAGAGTTATGCGTGTTTACAAATAGAAAAATTGATGAATTTTTAGTTTCTGTTCTCTACTTAAGTTAGCCTCAACCAAATGTTATGAGACTTACACACAATGCTTATTACCACAAAACTCAGATCAAGTTCAAATTTGGGTAGCGTCACTTTTACCGTTCTTCAGTTATGTCCCTTTATAACTATATGATATGCAAGTGGGGGCATCATCTGTGTCCACATGTGGACACTATCCACATTTATTTCCCATTAACTTTGTGTCAGATCATGACACACCATTATTTTTCTCTTTAATTAATTGGTAGTGTTGACAGTTTGCAAAATTGTGTAAGTAAGTTTTATAAGTGTTTCTCGTTTTTTATATAGATTAGACCGTTGGTTTTCCCGTTTGAATGGTTTTACACTAGTAATTTTTGGGGCCCTTTATAGCTTGCTGTTCGGTGTGAGCCAACAGTCAGGGGACTTATTGAAATAAGTGATTTTTAAATCACTTATTTAAGTAGCAAATTCGAAGTTTTGTCACAAATTGTGATTTTGTAGTTTTACCAAAATTTTAAACGCATAGGTTTAGATAATATCTTTTCATTAGTAAAATTGAAAAAAAATGAACTTTTTGCTTCTTTTAAGCAGCAAGGTTTTATGCCTTTGATGCAATCATTTACCTGCAAATTCTATTTTAGTTGAAAAAATGCTATAAAAGTGGCTTTACATAATGAACTAATACTTTCTTAACAGATTTTTCCCAGCAGTGGGAGTATTTTTCCTGTAAAATTCAAGGTTTCATCTTATAGATTATGTAATAAAATTCTACTGTTCGCGATCAAAATTTCACTGTTCGGGGGTGTTGAAATTAGTGGGGGTTATTAAAATAATGATACTTAAAGAAGTGATTTTTTGGAAGGAAATTGAGGTATGATACTTAAACAAGTAATTTTTATGTCATTATCCTAGATTTAGTACAAGGTCATCACCTGACATGACCCGGTCATCATATCAACACAGATGTTGGTTCTGATAATTTTAGCAACATAATTAGTCCCTGGATCATTAGTATTCTATATTTAAAGCTACAATAAAATTAAATCACTTAGTCTAGTGATTAATTTGTACTACTTAGATAGGTGATTATTAAAGAAAGACAACTCTTACTTCCAACCTTTATGGACATAATGTTACTTGTATCAGTGATTTAGAAAATCACTCATTTAAGTAAGTCCCCTGACTGGCCAAGGCTCTGTGTTTAAGACCGTACTTTGACCTATAATGGTTTACTTTAATAAATTTTGACTTGGATGGAGAGTTGTCTCATTGGCACTCATACCACATCTTCTTATATCTATTTATACAATTATATTTTAATTGAAACATTTAAGAATTCATAAAAAAATCTGAGTTTACTCGAGGCCATGGCAAATTTATATTATTTATTGTAGGAATAAGAGGAGCACCTAATTCTTTTGTTCATGGAGTTAATGAGCTCTTTAATTAGAAATTTATATACCTTATAAGGAATACAGTCAATACTCAGATTCTTAAAATTTTTTTTCTTCAGAGAACTCTATGCAAATCGCGAGAAGAGAGAAAATGGATTTGACCCAGATGGATCTGTTCGAACAACCCATAAAATGGTTAGTATTAAAAAACTTGCATATTACCGGTACTAACAAAGTAAATTTAGGGCCTTAAAATCATTAATATTGTTAATGGAAAATTTGAGATATCATAAATAAAAAATACATAACTGATATTAGAATAAGAGACAACTCTCCACCAGAGACCAAATGATGTAGAAGTGAACAACTATAGGTCACCATACAGCCTTCGACAATGAGTAAATACCATACTTTGAGTCTGATAAATGATTTCGGATGTTGATTTGAATAACACTTGTTTAAATAAGAAAGGAAAAGAAATTCTGTGTATCATTAATGTTACTATTTGGATCACCATGAGAAATTCTAGTTACTATCAAATTGGATTTACTTTAGTTAGATAATGTTGGAATAAGTTGAGATGTATAAATTTATTTTGATAACTTATTGATTGTTTTCAGAGATTATATCGTCCAAATATCTGTACGATAACCGAATTTATCCTGCAATCGACCTTTCTACTATACTGATAAAGGTGTACAGATCACACGAAGCGATATACATATACTAGACGTATATAGTCTCCTGGTATCCTGCTTCTGTTGCGAGCGAACGATTATGTCAAATTACTGTTTACAGTTCAATTTGGGATCTTCATTGCGGTCTGCGTTTAAATTATGTCGATTTCTTTCAAAAACAAATTCAACAATTTGGATGGGAAAAATGTACAAATTTAATTGCAGGATAAAGACAATAACTGTTTAGTGTCTTTAAATATCAGCTGTATTTGTACTCGGCTCGAAACAGGAGTAATAGCTCGCTACAGCTCACATTACACCTGTTTCTTAGCCTCGTACAAATACAGCTGATATTTAAAGACACTAAACAGTTATTGTCTATATATATATATTCATTATTAATATTACTTCTTGAACTTAAGTAAAAACATTGATATTGTTTGCACTCTTCATTCCCTTAAATTTTTAATCCATGATATTGATTGGTAATTTTCCATGGTTTATACATTTAATCCATTATTTATAGAATATAGATATATATAAGGTGATCGTTTGATATAAAGTGATATATATGAACAGTTTGCGGTGCCAAGAGTTTAGGTACTTGATCAGCGCTGAAACACTAGAGACATTTGAATGATTTCTTGGCTTTGGATTGATTGATTACTGATTGCTTAATGTAGCAGAATGTTAAGCTGAAAATTTTAATTATTTTTTTTCATATTTTTTGTACCCATGAAGTGACATATTTTGAACTAAGTTGGTAAATGGTTGAGAAACCAAGGGAAAAATAAGTAATATGATGATGAACCCCACCACATTTTTATGTGCCTGTCCCAAGTTAGGAGCCTACAGTACAATCTTGCCTTTGATTCATGTCTGTCATATTTGTTTTGTTTTAAATGAGGCCGATAGTTTTCTAAATTGAATTGTTTCTTTTTTTCATGTCAGGGCCTTTTATAGCTGACTATACAGTATGGGGTTTTCTCATTGTTGAAGGCTGTACAGTTGCCTATAGTTGCTTTCATCCACTTTATTTTAACCTTGCACGTCGCATTGCGGGCGACATAAAAATACTGGGCGTCTGTCCGGTCTTGTTAGCAATCTCACGTGTGCAATCCCTGTCAGATTTTCCAAAACTTATATCATAGGTTTATATCAGCAATGTTTTGCACAAGTTCGAAAATCAGTGCCAATCAACTTATTTTAAAAGACTTCTGCCCCTTAGAAATATTAATTATATGGAAAATTTCATTGTTAGCACTCTCATGTGTACAATTAGGAACCTCTGGCCTTTGTTTGTTGTGTATGTATTTTTAATTTTAGTTCATTTATATGTTTAGGAGTTTAGTGTGACATCTATTTTAACTGAACTTATACACATTTTTGTTTAGGGGCCAGCTGAAGCCCGACTCCGGGTGCAGGGTGTTGAAGACCCATTGGTGGACTTGGGCTGTTTTCTGCTCTTTGGTCAGGTTGTTGTCCTTTGACACATTCCCTGGCATTTCCATTCTCAATTTTAATTCTTGCCAGATTTTTATGAAACTTATATCATAGGTTAAATAGTCAGGGATATAACTCTATAGGGTTATTACAGAAAATAACTTACATGTGTTATTACAGATACTTTCATGAGTTGTCTACTCTATATTCCTGAAATTTTCTAAATCTGTAATAACATATGTTTGTTATTAGTAAAATATATCAAAAATATTTTAATCTATAGTGGGCTCTAGGGAACTCTTGACACGTTGCGCAGAAACTAAATACATAGCCTTGATAACTAATGTTTTAATTAAATTAATACATTTTTGATTAACCATGGTAAATCAATGAGATGAGGCTTTTAAGGGATCAACTTAGCTGTAATAACAAGGCTTAGTTATTAAAGGAATGTAACTTATTATATGAGACACTTGGGAATTACTGGGAAGCTTGCGCAGAACCTCATTACATGCTCTGGTCATTATTTCTTACAATAAATTAAAATACATTGTAATTAAGCATGATGTATGTCTGGTCAAATGCTTTGGAGTGATGTAGAGAAGCTGTGATAACACCCTTTAGTTATTACGGGCATTTTTTTCTGTAATAACATAGGTGTAGTATGCATAATTGGTAAACTGTGAACTGTTATATCTTTCTATAGTTGAGTATACATAAAGACAATAGTAATATCAATAGAACTTGTATACATTTTAACTAAACTAATGATGTATATTGTCCCTATGAAACATGTAACATACATATGTTATAACAGTTCTTCGACTTTTTAGTCCACAATAACAAATGTATGTTATTTTTCTGTAATAACCCTATAGAGTTATATCCCTGACTGTTAAACCGTTTATATCAGCAATGTCTCAGACAAATTCGAAATCAGTGCGGATTATAAAAAGTTATGCCTCTTGGAAATATTTTATGTGTAATTAGTGTGGGTTCGTGGCTAGTGGTTAAGACCAATGGCTACAGTGCTGAAGGTCCCGGGTTAGATCCTGACTCGGGGCACTGGAAATTTCTGAACATATTAGTAAGGTGATTTTCACCCTCTAACACACATCTCTGGTACCCATGCACCGGAGTTTAAACTAGAATGAGTACTTTGAGGGCCCCGGTTGCTCAAAGTGGCCCCTGGCATTGACCTGGAGATTAATCTATAGATATCTTTTTCGTTTTGTCTGTTTCCACCGAGAAGCCCGGTGGTTCTCACCGAGTACCTCTGCTTCCTCCACCATAATACCAGTGTCCTAACACTCCCTTGGCATTGGGTTGGGGATTGTCGGTGGTGGTGAGTTGTATATAAGTTAGTGACACATCTCCATTAATCCTTATAGGGAGTGTACACAGATTCCACTGTACCCTCTCAGCTCTTGAAGAGTGCTTCGCATATTGGAGGAATTTACGTACATACAATTATATGGAAAATTTCATTGTTAGTGCTCTCATGTGTACAATTCTTGCCAGATTTTTATGAAACCTATATCATAGGTTTATATCAGCAATGTCTCAGACAAGTTCGAAAAACAGTGTGGACCAATTGTTTTTAAAAGAGTTATGCTCCTTGGAAATATTATTTATATGGAAAATTGCATTGTTAGTGCTCTCATGTGTACAATTCTTTTTTATCAAATTTATATCAAAGGTTTATATCAGCAATGTCTCGGATACGTAGAAAATCAGAGCCAATCTAATATTTTTTAAGAGATATGCCCCTTGGAAATATTAATCATATTGGAAATGCATTGTATTTGCTCTCGTGCCTTAATTTCTCTAAGATATTTGTAAAAAAATTTAAAGAACAGAAAAAAAGTTTTTTTTAGTAATTGCCCTTGGATGAATGAAAAATGTGCGACGTGGGGGACATTGGAACTCTCTTCTTTATTATTTCAGTGTAAATGATCTTATATATATTACAAATTTTTTTTGACCAAATTTTTTTATGGACAATTGCTTAAAATGGTGATTACCATCAGAAACTCTTGTAATGTAAGACAACAACACGGTAACACAAAATATCAGAAGACATATAGAGTTTCAGCATACTGTTGGTCTTTAACAAAGAAATAGATGTATTAGTTTTTATCAGGTTCTAAATTGGCCCAAAGCTGAAAATCTTGTTTATAATAATATCATATGACAGTGACTAAAGTTTCAAAAATCTGCCATCACTACTAAAATCACAAAATAACAAACACCACATAGTTATAAGTTTAAACAACTACCTACAAGGTTCCTGATTATGTCAGTATCCTACAGATTAAAGTATGTGGAAAAATCTTCTTTCTTATAAACGCTATACACCAGTTGAAATCAAATACAACAGAGAAGTTTCTTACAGCTTTTGATACATAAGTAGAGATTAAACTTAAAACCTTTGGGAAAATGCAGAAAAATCTCTTTTGAACCAATTAAAACGAATTACAGCAATTTATATTCTTATTGTGATATTGAATTAGGAGGAGACTTTGATGTTTCTAACCAATACTGCCACCAAAAGTGAATACTTGAATTTACTGTAAATATTAAGAAAATCATCTGTGAACAGCATCGCTTAATAAATACAAATGTGATCAAAACAAATATTTGTGAGGTACTTGAAGTGTTATTACTTGTCATACTGGTGTACTTATATAACTTTTATGGCTACAAATTTTACATTGGAACTCGCTGCTAATATGTAGATCTCTTTACTTGGGAACTACATTAGACAAAGTGAAACCAAATATGACTTGAATGTTCTTTGTAGGATACTTACACATTGTTACTATAGTGCCAATCTACATGCAACATTGCTGCAACTGGGGTATCTGAACAAATCCTGCAAAAAATGGGCAGAAAAATGTCTTTTATCAATGTTTATGAGATTCTTGACCTCTTGATATTGAAGATAGTACAAAGGTTTCTGTAAGATCCTTGGCAAGAAATAGTTCTCTGTCCTTTTAAGAATGTCTGTATGAAATAACTTTTTGTCAGCTTGGTACTTATTTGCAACTGAAGGGATTCCTCCAGATAAACGGCATAAATTCAGACAGGCTTACTCACTCCGAAGCCTGTAGTTTCATTATAATGGTGTAATATAATAATTTCTTACTCTGTTTGAGCTCAAAGATTAACATTTTCTTTTTCAGTATAGATATGATTTTATGTACAGAGTACTAGATTATGATGTTTGGGACAGAGATAGTCCAAGATATCCTAAAAAGAAAAAGACCAAAGGGAAAGGGAAGTAAGTATTACAATTTTATAGAATTCACGACCTGGAGCCCAACAACCTTACTGTCTTAATTTAAGGTAGTATGCAGTATTCAGTATGAAAAAAAAATCTAATTTATGTCATTTTAAGAGGAAAGGTGAAAGGAATATTATAATGTTTATGTTTGTGTACTCAGTATGAGCCAAAAATGTTCATATACTGTCAACCAGCTAAAATTTTACACTAAATACTAAAGCAACTGGTAATCTGTTTATTGTATCAATTAGATTTTTTTATCCAAATATAATTGTGTTAAGCCTTCCTTGATAATATCATAGGTCAAACTTGATATCATTTAGTAAAATACTATGATGATATTTATACATTCTAATCAAATTTTACCTTGTGCCAAATCTTTTTTCAATTTCATAAAAATACAGAACTGGAATTTCTTAAGAGTTTGAATAGCAACATAGATATGGAAATAACAAAAATTAAGTAGTCATAACAGCATGCTGAATGGCTTTGCCTACTGACAAGGCATAAAATCACTGTTTACAAATAATTGCTTTGTTACTTTTTTATTTGTTTATTCAAAAACGACATTTGAGATTGTGAAAGGTAACATATGTATATCACATTTTAGTGGTATGTACATGTACATATATCAGCATTAATGCTCACATCTACAGTGATCAACAGATGGTCAGCTCTGAGGTTGTGAGTTTGAACCCTGTTGTGGCAATGTGAGTTTGACTCAGATCTTTATTGACAAGGATTATCTGTTTTCCTGCCATTAAAGTTAGTGGTTCTTTGAGAGTACTCTGGTTTACTTAACCCATAAAAACTGGTCACAATCATATAGCCAAGGTTCGTGAAAATTGCATATAACGGCAACAAACAGACAAACAATCAAACAAATTGTGAGACAATTAAGCATACATGTATAACAAGTTTACAAAAAATTAAAAAAATCATGGCTAAGAGTGGCATGCAAGCAACATTAATTTTCTGTAAACTTTTTTTTATGTTGTGAATTTTAGTTCTTTTGAAGAAGACAACAATGAGAAGGGGGAAGGGAGCCAAAATGAGGATAAATCAAAATGTATCAATCCTAAAATCCTTCATACAAGCAGACGTATGGTGCTATACAAAGAAGTGGACAGACTAGCTACCAATGCCACTAAAGTATTTGTAAGTATTTAAATACTTTCTTGCAATAGTCATGTAGAATAATGAATTGGTTCTCAATTTAAGGTTAAGGAGTAAATGGACTATGTCATAGCATACAACTCTTGCACAGAAAGTCTAACAGAAAATCTGAAAAACAATTCCTTTAACTGTTATACATGCCAAACTATTATAAAATAAAAATCCCAACATTTGAATAGAATGTACGTATAGTCTCAAAACTTATATCAAAAATTTTTTTAAAGCTCCTTTCTCCACACCCAGTACAAACTTTTTTCCTAAAATTTGATACATTATTGCCAGATAGATCTCGTGTCTAGAACATAACTCCTTTTCTCCTTTGATATAGGCTTTTGATATTTGACACAAAAGCAATGAACTTTACTTTTGACAAGGTAAAATAATTGATTTTATTAGCTCACCTGAGGCCATGTGGGCTTTTGCTATCACTTGGCGTCTGTCTTCGTTGTTAGCCAGTCTGTTGTTATAAACTTTTTTAGCTCACCTGACCTGAAAGGTCAAGTGAGCTTTTCTCATCACTTTGCGTCCTGCGTCCGTCGTCCGTAAACTTTTACAAAAATCTTCTCCTCTGAAACTACTGGGCCAAATTTGACCAAACTTGGCCACAATCATCATTGGGGTATCTAGTTTAAAAAATGTGTCCGGTGACCCGGCCAACCAACCAAGATGGCCGCCATGGCTAAAAATAGAACATAGGGGTAAAATGTAGATTTTGGCATATATCTCTGAAACCAAAGCATTTAGAGCAAATCTGACATGGGGTAAAATTGTTTATCAGGTCAAGATCTATCTGCCCTGGAATTTTCAGATGAATCGGACAACCCGTTGTTGGGTTGCAGCCCCTGAATTGGTAATTTTAAGGAAATTTTGCCGTTTTTGGTTATTATCTTGAATATTATTATAGATAGAGATGAACTGTAAACAGCAATAATGTTCAGCAAAGTAAGATCTACAAATAAGTCAACATGACCAAAATGGTCAGTTGACCCCTTAAGGAGTTATTGCCCTTTATAGTCAATTTTTAACCATTTTTCGTAAATTTTTGTAATCTTTTACAAAAATCTTCTCCTCTGAAACTACTAGGACAAATTTAACCAAACTTGTCCACAATCATCATTAGAGTATCTAGTTTAAAAAATGTGTCCGATGACCCCGCCCGCAAACCAAGATGGCCGACATGGCTAAAAAATAGTACATAGGGTAAAATGCAGTTTTTGGCTCATATCTCTGAAACCAAAGCATTTAGAGCAAATCTGATGAAAATAAAATTGTTCATTAGGTCAAGATCTATCTGCCCTGAAATTTTCAGACCAATCCGGCAACCCGTTGTTGGGTTGCTGCCCCTGAATTGGTAATTTTAAGGAAATTTTGCCGTTTTTGGTTATTATCTTGAATATTATTATAGATAGAGATAAACTGTAAACAGCAATAATGTTCAGCAAAGTAAGATCTACAAATAAGTCAACATGACCAAAATGGTCAGTTGACCCCTTAAGGAGTTATTGCCCTTTATAGACAATTTTTAACCATTTTTCGTAAATTTTTGTAATTTTTTACAAAAATCTTCTCCTCTGAAACTACTAAGACAAATTTAACCAAACTTGTCCACAATCATCATTAGGGTATCTAGTTTAAAAAATGTGTCCGATGACCCTGCTCGCGAACCAAGATGGCTGACATGGCTAAAAAATAGTACATAGGGTAAAATGCAGTTTTTGGCTCATATCTCTGAAACCAAAGCATTTAGAGCAAATCTGATGAGAATAAAATTGTTCATTAGGTCAAGATCTATCTGCCCTGAAATTTTCAGACCAATCAGGCAACACGTTGTTGGGTTGCTGCCCCTGAATTGGTAATTTTAAGAAAATTTTGCAGCTTTTGGTTATTATCTTGAATATTATTATAGATAGAGATAAACTGTAAACAGCAATAATGTACAGCAAAGTTAGATCTACAAATAAGGCAACATGACCAAAATTGTCAATTGACCCCTTAAGGAGTTATTGCCCTTTATAGTCAATTTTTTACAATTTTCATAAATTTTGTAAATTTTTGTAAATTTTTACAAAGTATTTTCCACTGTAATTACCGGGCCAAGTTCATTATAGATAGAGATAGTAGTAAGGAGCAAGAATGTTCAGTAAAGTAAGATCTACAAACACATCACCATCACCAAAACACAATTTTGTCATGAATCCATCTGTGTCCTTTGTTTAATATGCACATAGACCAAGGTGAGCGACACAGGCTCTTTAGAGCCTCTAGTTTTTTAAATCTTCTTCTCTGAAACTGCTTGGTCAAATAGCACCAAACTTTATCTGAACGTTCCTTATGGTATTATTTAAAAATGGTATCCGGGGATTTGATCCATCAACAAACATGGCCCTAGCTGTTGCCAAAAAATAGAACATAGGGATCAAATGCTGTTTTTGGTTTGTATCTCAAAAACTAAAGCAGTTAAAGCAAATCTGCAATGGTTAAAACTGATCTATCTTTTGCAGAATATTTCAGAAAAATTGGAAAACCACTTTGGAGTTTTTGCCCCTAAAATGTCATTTTTTTGCAAATTTCACAGTTTTTGGTTATTAATCTTGAAAACAATAACAGATAGAGAGAAATTTAGGCAGTAAGAATGACCCAATCAAAAAATCTACAAGTAAGTCAATTTGGCAGAAATATTTAAATGATCCTTGTAGGAGTTTAAAATACCTTTTAATGATGATTTTTTTTAACTCTTTTAGCATTTTTTTCACTTGAATGTGTTTGTTAGGTCTTTTTTTACTGAAGTGACTTTTACAGATGAAGGGGAGACATTCATTAAAACAGTTCAACCTATTTTTTTCTCTTTGAAATTGTATGTTAAATTGACTCCTAGATTAATGGGTTTCACTTTTGTTGTAGGGAAATCTTTCAGGAAATCACCCTTTTATTTGTGCAGAGAAAGTTTCAAATCTCTAAATGAAGGTTTTTGATATTGTTGTTTAATGTTGATATTGTTGTTTAATGTTGATATACATGTATCATTATAGGAAACTCTTCCAATAGACAAACTACAGGTAATACACAGATATAGACCTAGTTACCATGGTAAAATAGATGACATACCGGAAACTGGAAAAGTGCAAAATTATACACGTCATGTTGGTGCTGTTCTCAAGTCTCAGGATTATGTAAATTATTATATCAAAGAAGGTAAAAATAATAGATACAAAAACGTTTTATTAATGTATAGCCTTAAACATATACTTGAAAATAAATAATGTTTAAAGTTTTTCAATATTGCAGCAGATATCTGACAAGTTTTCTTATTTGTATTTTAATAGTGTTATGCCACTATGCAGATCTTTCAACATAGCAAAATATATTTAAATATACACAAAACTGTCACATATATATCATGTATATCAACAGATGAAATATCCAGTTGAAAAAGTAAAATCTATGGAAACATCTTTGTGACACAAAAAGTTTTTAAAAAATGCAATTAGAATATTTCACCGGCATCATTTCTTACAAAATGCATGGCAAGCAGGCACTTTTGTCAAATTGTTCTAAAGATGTGGAGGATTAAAACAAAACATCAGTTATTAATTTTTACAGATCTGAAGTTAAGCATGATCAGATTGCAATTTAGGTACTCCTCATTACAGAATCTTGGGTCGTTTGTAGGTTGGTTCAAACCCTTTATCCTTTGATAAAGTATGAATTCAAAATTAAATTTGTGGAATTATATACTAAATAAGGATACATCTCCAAAAAATCAGAATGGAAACTTTTGTCCGTTTCCTAAATAAACCTACACGTGGTAGGTGTAAAAAAAACTATCCAAATAGGTTCTATTTGGGTACCCCGAGGTAACTAAAGGTATTAGAATTTCCATTTTAGATTAGAAACAAATATGTTGATGCAGCATATCTTAAAATTCCATTAATAAATCTTACATTTTTGTACAATAATCAACAATTACAATAATAGATGGATCCGATAGTATATTTAGAGGTAAACAATATATTGCATTCACTCAATGAAATATAAATGTGTACAAGAAGTATGTTCTAGTGAAACAAAATCACATCACATTACCCCTCTTAATAAATTTATAAAACTTAAAAAGATACTCAATAGCATAGAATTTACATATTTGCTGAAAAGGAAGTATGCATAATTCTAAATGATTAAAATCAAATTGATTTTTTAAAAGATTTTTTTTTCTCAGAAAACAAATTTGTAATTTCAGGTCTCCAGACAGGTGATGCTTCAAAATCAAAAAGATTGCAAGAAATTCCAGTAAGGGTAAAATGGTTATTTGCTTTAATATGTGAATGCACATTTTTCATGTACACTTTAAGGTTGCATTTCTGTAAATATAGACAATGCAATTTCCCATAGGAACCCCTTTTACAGGTAAAACTGTACCACTTTTACTATGCAGTTTCGTAAAAAATTATATCCTAGAATGGAAAGCTCATATGCACTACTATTTTTTTCAAAGGTCAAAATATAGAGCTGTGCTGCATATTTTCAACATTTATATGCCCGAACTTGTAAGAGTGTAAAGTGTTTAAACTTATACTAAATTCTGTACTACCCCTCCCTTCACTTTGGGTCTTCCTCAGAATTCAAGGCAGCCGCTATTTATTAGTCCCCTACCGATGAAGTCGAAGGGGACTTTAGGTTTGCACTCCGTCAGTCTGTCCATCCGTCAGTCCGGCAAATCAGTTTTCCACACTTTTGTTCTTCGTTCTTGAAGATATTGATTTGATATTTGGTATATAGTTTTATCATGACAAGTTATAGATCAAGTTCAAATTTTGTTCTGGTCTGAAAATTGAGTCCAGAGTTATCCAATGTTAGAGTACTATGTTAAACCATATTTCTGTACAAAGGGAGATAACTCATTTTTTAAAGACATTCTTTGGTAAATTGTTTGTAGAATTTTTTGGCAGGTTTGTTTGTTATTTTGCATAAACTAATTTTCTGAATGCTATTTATATATAAAAAAAAGATTATGAAGTGAAATCCTTTAATTAGATAATAATCTGTTTTTATTAATGTATATATTTTATTAAATTTCATTGTGTACAGATAAAAATTGTTGACATTTTATAGATAAGTTACAAATCTATATTAGTTTGTGACAAATGAATGAAAAAATATTTGAAACTGTTAATTATATTTGATTATAATTTGAAAATAGATATACACTGTATTACATCATATCTAATTTTAGAGAACTATCAATCATATCTTATGTTTTCCACACTTTTGTTTTCATCATGCTTGAAGATATTGATTGATAATTGGTATATAGTTTTATCATGACAAGTTACAGATCAAGTTCAAATTTTTGCTTTGGCTATTTTTGTGCAGAGTTATGGTCCTTGGACTTGAAAATTTAACTCATATAATCAGTTTTCCACACTGTTTTTAATCATGCTTGAAGATATTGACTTGATATTTTCTTTTTGTTTACACCATGACAAGTTATAGAACAAGTTAGCATTTTGTTCCAGTATAATGATTTTTTACCCGGTAGGGGACTATATATAGCTATGTACTGCCATGCAATACTCTCAGAATGCTTGTTTATACTGGTAACATTCCCAAGTTATGTCTCTATGAGATGAAACATAGAGATCATATCTGGGAACCAGCACTACAAAAGTCAAAAAGTCTGAAAAGACCAGTTTTTGTCTGAATTTGCAAGAATTTTTACTCGACATTCTTAATTTGTCTGAATAATTTTTAAAAATTCTTGACATAGTATGAATTTGTCTAATAAGGTTCTTGATTTTTCTTGACAAGTGTCTTGACAGTATGAACATTGTCTTAAAATTTCTCGACACTTCCTGTATCATCTGATAAGAGTCTGGATTAGTCTCGACCAATTCTTGACTGTCTTAAATTTGTCTCGATCTGTCTTGACATATTCTTGACATTCTAAATAATGTCTGAATATGTCTCGACACATTCTTGACAGTCTTAAATATGTCTTGACACTATCTCAACAGTATAAAATTCGCCTGAAATGTGAACAGACTTATTCTGCACTGTTTATGACATTCTATTGCTGTTGTATACTCCTTTTTATTATGGCTAAACTAAACTTTGAAGAATCAAGGATTAATTTGGTATAGTAAGATACCCTTTTGGTGCAACTAAGTTGGAATACCCTGAATAATCCCCCATGTAGTTTAATTTTGATTTATTTTTATTAAACATTTAAGTAATTGTTTTCACTTGGAATATAAGTCGAAGGTATTGACAAACAGCATTTAGATTTTTGCCGTTCGCAAAACTGCCAGTCAAATTTGCTTTGCTAAAATAGGTGTCTTGTATCTCTTTTGGACCCCACAATTCATCTTTTGGGTGTGTGTGGCTAAAAAAAGAGGGGGGGGGGGGGGGGGGGGGGGGGGGGGGGCTTTCGTTTAGGTCAAAGAATTTGTTCCCATCTTGATTCAAAAACCTTATTCATTTTTTAGAACAACCCAAAAACATTTTTTATTCAAATTTGAGTGTTGAATTTTATAATTTTTTATCAAAAATAAATATTTGTGATAACTCCTTTCTGAAAAAAAAATGTTTAGATCTATATTATGCATGTCTGTTTGAGAACCATTTCATAAGACCGATGATTTCTATAGAAATCATTGATGGGATCATGGGACCCATTATAAATACATTTTTTTTATTATTCCTGGAGTAGATAATAATTTTCTTTTAATCTTTGGGAATTATTCAATTTGTTTTTATGTTAAAATAATTAACTTCATAATTTTGATGAAGAAAATCCATTTCAATTCAATTTTTTTTCATCAAAATGATGATTTTCATTTTCATCTATCAACAAACTTTTTAAAATGTAGTTGCATGGTCAGTCAACTGATAAGTTGTATGGCTGATTACAGGTAAAGCAATAACTTCTATTTGACAGTTGCGTGTACTCTGGGGTGTGGAATACCTTAATTTTATGGGGAACATCCTTAACTTAATATGTTCCAACAGATGACATTACACAAATTTTTCTTCTGTTAAATGAATGATTTGTATATCATCATAATTTGCTATTTATATAAACCACATTTTGGTATAATAATTATTTACCATATCAACATTGAATATTATGAATGTAGAATGAAATTTTTTTTATGAAATATGTCTACAGTATGATTGGTTTGAATCATTTAATTTATAAGATTTAGGAATCAAAATTTGTGATTATTTAAAAACCCACATTGAAATTGTTTTATATCAACACACCCACATTTGAATTATTTTATACTTAAGATTTCATAGCCATATTTGCATTTGTAAAAATATTTATATACCCAAATTTTCAATTATTTTACATGCCCAACTTTTATTTTTGTTGTAAAGAAGTGTAACTTGAAACAACAGTATATCATATAAAGAAAAATAAAGATTAAAGTTATATCATGAATATTGGTCATGATTTGTAAAACTCAGAACTGTCAAGTAAATTTAAGACACGATTCAAAATGTTCAGAATATGTCAAGCCATACTGAGAAAAAATAAGAATGTTGAGAATATGTCGAGAAATTTCAAGACAGTATTCAAATGTCAAGAATTTGTCAAGAAATTTTAAGACCATATTCAGAATGTCGAGAATATGTCGAGTAAATTTCATACAAATTTAATATAAATGAGAATTTGTCAAGAAAAATTAAGACACAATTCATACTTTTGGAGAATGTCGAGTAAAAGTTCATGCAAATTAAGACAAAAACTGGTCTTTTCAGACTTTTAGACTTTTGTAGTGCAGTATGTAAACAAAACAAATTATCTATGAATATTATATATCTCCCCAAAAGAGGCGTGGTTTGTGAAACAGCTGTATTTACAAAGTGCAACCTTAAGCATGACTTGCATAAAGTGTAATTGTGAACCATCACATAGCATCTACTGTAAAATATCATCATTAACACCTTTTGTTCTGGCCTAAGAATACTTGTAATTACCACAACCAAAATCATATATGTTTTTAATCAGATCTTATTTACATTATTACACAAAATGAAGAAGTTTTATGAGTTATCAAACATTTTATTTTGAAGTGTGTTTTATGATTACACTGATGTCAGATCTAAGAAGAACAAGAAACCTGCAGCTTTTACACTACAAATCTAGCATTTAAAATTGATGATCATAAGTTATACTGAAATGTTTAAGACTTACATGTAGTATTTTTTTTAGTGGTAAGATTCTTTGTGGAAAGAGTTGCTATCTTTTTTTTCTTTAAACTAAATTTAAGATTATTTTGAATACCTTCTAACTGCAACACAGAATTGCTTGTTTGTTATAATCACAGGACAATTGGATAAGTTCAATCCACCATTAAATCATGTGTCATGTGATAACTGTTTATACTTTTGTGGGATATCAGCCAGGGTTGGTTGAATGAGGGAAATAATCTAAGGCATATTATAAGAGAGTAATGAGAAAACTCCTGTTGTATAAGAAATTTTCTGAGCATACCCAGTATTCACTTTGTAAGCATAGTGTTCAACGAAATAGATCTTGGCATTCAATCTTGTTTTTTTCTTCCATCATAAAATTTGTTTCTATTTGAATAGCAGAAAAATGTCGTAAAACTTTTAAACCTTTAAAGGCCACCGACTCTTTTCACAAAAACTCTTAGGATTAAAATTGATCGTAAGTTATACTGAAATGTGTATGACTTACGAGTATTTTTGCTCTTTAAGATTTTTTGTGAAAAGAGCCGCAGATTGTTATTGTTTGTCTCTATTCTGACCACTTTAGTGTGAATTAGTTGCATTGTATTCATTTTTATATGAAATATATATTTGTTGGAGTACAAAAAATGTAACAGAATTTTGATAAACTCTAAGGGGTTAATCTGATTTTGATACTTAATTATTTCCTGATCTTGCTTATAGGTAAAAAATGTAAAATTTGTTCTGTTTAAATTTCAGAAAGAGAAGAAAGATGCAGACAATGAAGATAAAAAAGAGAACAGCGAAAATGGTGATGAGGATAGAAAGATAAATAAAGACAAGAAACAGGATAAGCCAAAGAAGGAATTAGAACCCATAATAAAAGTAAAAGTAACAGAAAAAAAGAAAGATTAATTGTGGCATAAAAGGTTGAACTTTGCAATTATTTGATGTCTGTGATAACTCTTTTTTAATGCAAAATTTACATAGCTTCTGCTCAATAGTCTTTTGCACATCTTTATAAGTGTTTAACTTTGATAAAAAGATGAGACATAATATTGTATAATGTCTTCAAAATCATAGTTCAAGTGTTTTTTTTTTAAATATTACTTATAGTATTTATTAACAACATGAATTATAGTAAGAACTCTGAAATGGTTACGAATGTGTAGGTGTGGAAATTACTTTCAATGTCTATAAATATGTTTTCTGATTTGAAAAAAATATCAGGAGAATTGTGAAAATTTAAAATTTCTTTTTTATTATTTCAAAATTTATTATTAATCTTGTTGCAGATGTAAAAAAATGGTGATGCTTGTAAAAATGTTACTAATGTACTTAATTTTTAAAATTTCCCTCTTCCCCAAAAATAATATCATAAGTGCTTTGTGTTTGTGTCCAGGACTATGGAATTTGGTATAACTCAAATTTGTTGGAACAAATATTACATCTGCACAAATGTTTTTTATTCAATTAAGTTTTTGTAAGTAACTTCAATTAGGCTCAGATTTCCTTTCAATAGATATATGTCTTTAAAATTTCAATTTATTTTTTTAATTAACATGAGTAAATCAAAGAAATATACATCTTATTATATTATTATATTTATATATATATCATTGTTTATATGCAAAAGGTACTATTTTACTTCAGCCATAAAATCTTAGCAATAAATAAAGACTAAATAAAGAACATTCTTGCTCAGTTTTCACTATTTATGAAATATTAGTCATAAATTATTGTCTCTCCTCTGGTTGTGACAGAAGTTGTGTATTGAAAGAGATCCTACATTGCATCGCCAGTGTCATCAATGTTAAGAAAGTAATTGGTAATTGATTGATTCATATTTATATATGAGTTATATATTTCCACTGACATATATATATACATTGTATATATATAAGCTGCCTAATTTTAAATACAATTTTAGGCCTACACATGATATTTATAACATAATTTGAGGTATGTAAGAGTAAAGAGTCTTTCTATAATTATTATGGATATTCGATGCACTAACATATATGACAGTTAATCTTATATAAGTTGTAAAGTAACCTAATATTAATTATTGGAAGTAATTTATTACAGTCTATATGTCAGTTATATTTGCTTGTTAAGTTTTTGTTTGCAATATTTTTTATAAGTCAAATTAAGTTTATAAAAACAAAACAATGAGACTAAGAAATAAGCATACTTTAAAAAAGTGATACAAACTAAATATTTTTGTTTGTGTATAATTTTTTATATTGTGTAGTTTAAGCAAACTTCATGTGAAACAAAAATGCACAGAATGCAATTGATTTATATATGTGTGATAGGTTGAATTACCAAGGATTTGTTTGGGGTTTGATATTAATCAAAATTATTTGAATGACTCATTCCCCTTTGTTAAATATGGTGTTGATTAAAATTTCCATATGCACCTTTTTATTTTAAAGGCAAAATTATTTATTATCTAAAGATCTAAAAAAAAAAAAAGGTCATTTACAGTGCTTAAACAAGTTTTATAATTTTCATCAGTATAAAAACACTTTTACTGCTGAAGTGTCTTAATTTACCAGAGCCCATGAGGAATCTGATATCTGTGTCTTATACACAATCCCAGAATAAAAGTATTCCATGATATCATATGCAATATATAAAAATGAGAGGAGTATATTGGAAAAAGAATTGTCAACAAATAAATATCTACGGTCACTGGGCCGAATGTCACTAGCATCAGTTAACGGTGCTTATTTGATTAAGGTAGAAATGTTCGTAGTTTGTCAATAGTATTTTTATTGTTTCTATGTATCGTGATTATTTTCCTTGTTATTTTATTTTTGTTGATTGCTTTTATGTAGTTTATTATTTTGTTATATAGAATGAAGTGCTATTTTCAGGCTTTGAGGTGCATTTACATTTATATCCAGTAAAGATGCATTTACAAGAGATGCATTTAATCAGATTTGTTAAGAAGTCTTTCTAAACTTGTCTGGCCTTATGACAAGTATGAGCTATTGCCATTGCTTGGCTTCCATCATCTGTCTGATCAATTTTTTTTTCCACCTCAAATTGTTTGTTTGTTTTTATCATGTTATCAGTGTTTCAACATCATTGTCAGGGTTAGTGATACCTTGTTTATTACTCTAAATAGAAATTTAAAAAATACAAAAAAGATACATGTATTAAACAGATTTCTTAAATAATTGATTTAACTTTTATGAACTAGTTTGGTAGGAATGTTTCTGATTGATTGTCAAATTTATATCCAATGCAGTGGCGTAAATAGGCCATTTTTAAGTGTACGCCCGAACCTAGGCGAGGGGCCTGAGGGCCCCCTGCAGGTCCAGGACAGAGGACCTCCTGGTAATGGGTTCGATGGGGAAAAGCCCTCGTAAGTTCACATGCTATCGAGAAAGAGATACCATTTTTGTCATTAAAAACTCATCAATAGCAACATAATTTAGAGTCTAGTTTGTTTAGTTTTATGTTTAATTTATTTATTTTGTTTAATTGGAATATAATAATCATTGGTCTTAGAGAAAAATGTCCAAACCAGTTGCTGTAAAATATGTTTAATAGATGTGGGGTAAAACAATCAATTGACAAAAAAATCCAAAACTTTAGAGACAGTAAAAAACCAAATCTCCATTTCAATGTTGTCGTTCTCTTAATTATTATGACTTCATCTGAATTTCTCCCATTTTTATGCGCAAATTCCGTTAATGAACACATCACATGAAATAATTGATTATCAAAGATTGTCAAGTGTAATATAAAAATTCAAAAGGGTTTCGTGGAACGGCCGGTGTCTGGTTGGGATTGCTGCTGTCAGTGTAAACGTGTAATGTTGACTGTAAAAAGTGAATCCATTTATCATGCAATCAAATACAGGATTTAAGAAAAAATCAAACTGTTTCTGTGTGTGCTTTTTCTTGATCTTTAAGATTAGCTTATTTCCAAATTTCATAACAATCTATGCAAGTGTACAAATTTATCATGTCAAAATAAATTAATACCAGATCGTCTGTTAATTGCAAAAAGTCAGTAAAATACTTTCAAAATTTTGCTTCAGACATTATTTCTTAATCATAAAAAAGATTCTGCAAAATTATCATAAAATTAGATGAAGGTTTGACAGAGTAATTGATGTGTAACTTTAACCTCAAACTGTATCTTCTTATTAACTATAAAACAACAAAGTCCTTTTATCGGTAAAATAGGGAAAAATTAAAAATATATTTCCATTATGCTCTGGATACTGACTTTTGATCATAAAAAAGCTTGTGTCAAACTTTCGTAAAATTTCATGTAGTTTGAAAAATGTTATTGATGTCTGAAAAACATTAACCTTAGCCTGTGTCTAAATAATAACTGTAAAAAAAACTACGTCCATTTATCAATAAAATAAAAATACATATTTTCAAAATTTTGCTCTAAATACTGTCTTAAATTTGGTCATAAAAGCTTCTGTCTAACTTTCATAAAATTCCAGGAAAGTTTGACAAACAAACTTTAACCACAGACTGAACGTAAATGTTGACGGCGCTGACGGAATCTAGGATCGCTAAAAGTCTCGTTTTCGCTCGAAAAAATGCAAATCAGATATCGTATCTCAGCAGATAACGAATTACTTTTAACAATAGGAAACTGAATAGAATTCACAGTAGATTCAGACTTTGACGGGGAATAAACAAATATATAATATACCATTTGATTAAAAGTAAATTTGTCACTTTCATCTTCAATTACAAGTCATTGAAGAAAGAATTACAAGATTCATATGCTTTTAACCAGTTCTTTTAATTTATTTAGATTAAATTGTTTTTTCTCCTAAATTCATGTGCACGCCGGGACGTTTCAATGTACCATTGGAAGAGTTTTCTACATTGTGATACAGTTCTGTGGAACAACTAGACCTATCAATCAAACAAGACTTGATCACCACATTGGTGACTAGTTTGAAAATTGTTTGACTGAATTTGCTGAAGAATGAGAACATACATCATTTCACTCAGATTCAACTAGTAGCCAGTACTTCTGTGTCGAAATGAATTATCATTTATATGGTCACAATTATAAATTAACTGAAAAACTAAGGATTTTCTACCCTAGGAATATATTACCTTAGCTGTATTTGGCAAAACCTTTCGAAATTTTGGGTCCTCAATGCTCTTCAACTTTGTGGCCTTTTTAACTTTTTTTATTTGAGCGTCACTGATGAATTTTTTGCAGACAAAACATGTGTGGTGTACAAAATTGTAATCCTAGTATCTATTCTATGATGCATTTATTTATATAGTAAGTAAGTAACAGTTGCAGGTGAGCAATACTAGCTCTTTTGACTCTTCTTTGTTATTAACTTTGAAGTGTTATATTTTGTTATTTATTTATTTGAAGTGTTATGATTTGTGAATTATTTACCCATATTGTATTTTTCTCTAAAAGGCTGTTAGAAATAATGTGATAAAAGTTATCAGGTTTTTCTAAAACAAAGATGTTAGAAAATATCAGATGTTCAACACAATTTGAGGCTAACTTTCATATTTTTTTTTTATTATGATTACTCATAAAGAGTTTTGGTAGAAATTTATCTTTATATCCATTAAAAAAGAAAATCTAGTACTTTATTTTTATTTTTGATCTTGAAATGTTATATAGAAATAAGAAGATGTGGTATGAGTGTCAATGAGACGCCACATTAATGTATTTTTATAGCAGGTGTAAAGTTAATATAGTTTCATGAAATTTCAAGCGTTGACAATCTTGGATACAAACTGTAATATGTTGTAGGGATGAGTGGCTAGAATATATCACTATTTCCAGCTTCATGATATGTGAAAAGGTTGAAAAAATATGATGAAATATATGACAAGGCTGCTGATGAAATCACAAGTATCTGAAACTCATCAGATGTCGATTTTTTTCTCAGATGCAATAAAAACCACTGTCGGAAATGCATCAAATATTTTTCAAATCTTTTCATCTCTCTGTGAAATAGCTTAATCTTCATTGCTATGGATTTTTTGTAAAAAAATATATCATAGGGTATGTATTTTTGATATTCAAAATATGTACTGTATGTTTCAGCTGCCCACCCCTACCACAAAATGATTGAAGTGGCCCCCAAGCCTCTGTCATGGTCTATTGACTTTGAAGCTTTTGTATAGTTGACATGTAAAAGTTAGTGATCAGGTCAGTTTAGAATACACCACTTATGGTAAGTCAATAATATTTGGTATGCAGTTGTAGTTGCATTTGAACATCTCATTTCCATGAAGATAATGTGGCATTGCCCCTCAACTATGGTTGAATTTGGAACTTTTGCATAGTTTACATGCTAAAAGTTTGTAATGAGGTCAGTTTAAGGGGAACCACATATGATAAGTATCTCACATCCATGGAGATTAAATGAGCCTGACCTTGAAACGTTTTACATAGTTTTACATGTTAAAGTATTTGTCATTTTAATTTCATCATTTCTTATTATCAAAATTACTTACAGGTGTAATACCACCAAATCATAGTACGTCACATCCCTTTTCATACGAAATAGGGTCGAAAAAAATATTCCCTTGAATTTGACAGTTGTAGGAAGTGAACCCTGCATTCCATTGCAGGAAAAAATTGATAAGTCATAAACATATATCTTGGGTGCATGAAAGTACCATTCTTTTTTTTAATTGGTGTTTCTATAGAATATTTTGGAAACTTGAGGTTACATGGTCACTAAGGGAGCTACCATTTGATTTTTATGGGGGGGGGGGGGGCTAGGATGAAAAATTTTGTCCTGCTTTTTTTTAGTTGTAATCTCTGTCCTGCCTTTTTATTTTTTACTCTATTCGGTCCTGCCTTTTTTTTTTACTAGTCTATCCTGAATTTTTTTAAACAAATTGTCATCCTGAATTTTTTTTTTACCAAGTTGCTCATCCTGCCTTTTTTTTTACTCAAAACTCCTGTCCTGCCTATTTTTTTCAAATTTCATCCTAGCACCCCCCCCCCCCCCCCCCCCCCAGCCATCTCCCCCCCCGCACCCCCCCCCCCCCCCACCCCCCACCCCCATAAAAATCAAATGGTAGCTCCCTAAAGCTTGTACACGGGAAAAAAAGGGGTGAAAATTTGATTGGTTAACTTCCAGTGATGGTTATTATCTTATATGCAATGAAATGTTATGTGAAATTTTGTCTGTAGTACTGGACAGGATAAAACTTTACTCATGCCAAGTATTTCTTTATTTGATACAAAGATAAATTCTGCACAATGTTTTGAAAAGTGCCAATTTAACAAAGACTAATTGGGGAAAATCAATGGTGGTATTACTCCTACAGGCGAGAGATATTTCTGTGTCGATAGTATACTTTAAGAATTACTAATAAAAGTTCACTTAGTTGGAATGGGGTTATATTGGTATGAAAAAAATTAAGATTATTAATTATCTTCTAGGACTTATAGATGAACTAGTCCCAGTAATTAAATTATTGAGAAAAAATTGTTAGAAAAATGAAATTTTGGTTATATCCTTTGAATTTAAACATTTGAAAAGTGCATGAACTGCAAAATTAAAGCATGATGCAATTTTTTATTTAATTTGCTGTTGTGTGAAGTTGAATAGATTTTGTGTTGATTTTTCTTTGTACTTTTTAGGGAAATGCAAAATATGAAGAATTTGCGGAAACTTATATTTTACTGTTCATTAATAAAGCTTTGTTACAGTTCTGTCTAATTTTTACTGGGTATGGTTTGACAAAAGACTGAAAACTAAGCAACATGAACTTCATAAAAAAAAAGAGGAGTGAACTCTGGTTCCCTGGAAATAAAAAGGACAAAAGATGAACAATAGTTTAAAAAAGGATACATTTGTTGTACAATGAAAATTAAGTAAAATATAAACATTAATCATAAAAAACCAGGGGTGAACTCATGCTCTAAATTGTTATGCAGTTCCTGGTCTTTTAGTGGCACAGAACTTGTTTTATGAACTGAATGGCTATCAAATTTTGGGTTCGAGCGTTCCTGATGAAGGTAAATCCAGAAAAGTTCAGTGGTATTATTTATTTCACAATTATGTTAAAAGCACTGAAAAAGACACAAGTGGATTTTAAAAATATACAACTAAATTTTAATATTACAGCTAGATGTGAAAGAGTCACTTGAATTAAAATAAACACAGATATAATTAATGCAACTTTAACTTTGCGAATTTCATGAACATTTACGCCTTGCTTAGACGGAACTTTGATTTCATCTGCATTTTATTATATCCCGCTCCGAATGACAGGGTATACTGTTTCACACCTGTCTGTCCGTCTATACCATGAAATGTCTGTGGAATTTAACACATGAACTACAAATCAGAGTTTCCTGAAATTTGTTATAAGGCTTCATGACAGCATTCTGTACTGTGTTCAAATGGTGTTACATGTTTTCAAATACATCGCTCATCAACTTCATGTTTACCGAATACTGATATAGAATTCTAAACGTAATGGTCAAGTATGAAATTTTAGTTGCATTTTTCTAGGAAACTTCAAGACATAGCTTCCTGAAATTTGTTATCAGGCTTCATGTCAGCATGCTATACCGTATTACATGGTTTCAGCTAGATTAATCTCTCATCAATAATGCTTTACCGAATGCTTAAAGAGGGTGTATTAGCGATCGCGAGCAGTAGTTCACACTTTTACCTATTTCTGACATTTGGAACTCGTTTAGACTTTCACATGAAAAATCAATGGTGGGTTATAAAATGACCAAGGTGGAAAATACGTACAGCATTGCAAAATGACATGTTTTCAGTCATATCTTTGGTAAAAAATTGAAATGGATTTTAACGTTAATAAAATAATCAAAACATTGAAATAAAATAAATACAAGGTAAGCCTATATACCTGTATTGATAAATTATAATGCCTCATATCAATGGAAACGTTTTGAATTCAAAGACAAAAGGGAAAAAATTCAGACTCGTTTGACCTGACTATTGAAAATTTTATACATGCAGAAAATGGCTTTATAGGACTAGTTAATAAAGTGATGGTTTTCATCTGCAGAGAAGATAAATTCCAGATTTACTCAAAACAGCACTTTTATCTCCAGTATTCAAAAACAAAGGTTTTTTTGGAAAATGACGTTGTCAATTTTCCTATACCGCTGACCAGAAGTCATTTACCGCTTCCAAAAGCCGCGTTCCGTACTCGGTTCCGTTTTTTACATACTTATGTACTTTAGGTGTCTGACCACCAATTACTCCCTCCAATTTAGAACTTATGTAAAAGTAGCCCTACTCTGACACAAAATAGTGCTTTTGATGTCCTTGTTTACTTAAACTAACTAACAAATTTGCAGAAATGAAACTTTTGGTGAAAGAGAAATAAATTTAGACCATTTTGAGCCAAAATTTACTTGTCTATGAGTTTGCATTAAAAATTGAGGATCAATGCGCTCCATTGTATACTAATTTAAGATTTCCAGAAAACCAGGGGTTATTTTTGGAGTACCTCTTTTTGAAGGTCAGTTTTTTTCTTAGAAGGCTTTAAAGGTATGTTGAAAATTGGCATGCAGAAAGCTGATACATGTACAATTCAGGATATACCTGGTTTCTATGAAGTTAAACTTAAGGTAAAATATTTAGAAAGCTGTGAAAATTGCAAAATTTGGTTGAACAGATAGGGATATGTAATTGGTGGTCTGACACCTTTAAGCGAAATGCGGTGAAACCCCAAAATCAGAAAACGATCTATTTTTTTGTCTTAACTGATCAATTGAAATGATAGTAGCCACATTTTAATCTTTTTTTGGGCAAAAAGTCAGATATTGCAAATTTAGAGCCTTAAACCTGAATTTGTGCTATTTTTAGCTTTCCCATCCTGACAATATGCTTTCATATAAAAAAAATGTCCTAAATTGTTATAAATGAACAGTAAGTTGTTTCTGTGGTGTTAAACATTAAAACATAGGTTGTTTACTACCCCAAAAAAATTGTCGTCATGAAGATTTAATGAAATTATTTGATTTTTACCCCTCATATCATTGCGTCATACAAAGTATTTGGCAGATAACATAGCCTGATGTAAACACTGCATAAACTCACAAAAATCCCATTTATAATCTCAAATGAAAGTTTTATACCTTAAATTTGATTGACTGATAGTAAATAAAAACAGTTAAATGACCATGACCGCACTTTTGATCAGTTAATAGTCCCATTACTGACACCAGGTGAAAAAAGGGGGGTCAATATTCCTTGACTCTTCAATACCTTGGATTTTATAATAGACTCATTGTAAAAATTGTGGAAAGTCTTTAAAGTACTAGAACAGACAAGGAAAAATCAACAAAAACTGATGTTTATGTTCTCGTAGTCCAAAATGAAATTTTCAATTATTTTCTATCAAAGTCATACATTACAGTCAGTTTAAATTGAGCTGTGAAATTTGTAATATAAGTCCCATTATGCTCAGATAGGCTGTTTTTAACTACAAATTGACTAAGGATTAAGAATAAAGCAAAACAAAAAATTTCTGATAAACTTTTTTGTCTCTTTAGGTGTCAGACCAACAATTACTCCCTCCAATTTAGAACGTATGTAAAAGTAGCCCTACTCTGACACAAAATAGTGCTTT